TACCCCCCCCCTCCCCCCCCCCCCCCCCCCCCCTGTCGCCCAGAGACACTTTTATTTCTCGAAGGGGTAAGATATCGCGGCGATTTATTTACTGACACAGCCGCACACAACTCGAGAGAAGGAGAGGCGATCGATCGCACCAAATACAAGATACAACAATTATAGATACATACGCGATATCGATAATTATTCGCACTTTTTAATCGTACACGATAGGATTAATGCTGATATAACAGTAATTACACTCTACTACTTCTCTCTTAAATGCTATAACGTGTCGCCTCCGAGCAAGCTATCCTGTTACTTTCCTTATGTGGCATATACCTATATATTTATATTTTTCCTTAGACTCGCTCGTTTTCGCGTTGTTATCACTTATTCCTTATCTCCTGTTGACTTGCTTAGAAAGTTACAAACACTTGATACACTTCCTCTGACTCCAGGCACACTTTACGTTCGATTATTTCGCGCGATCACAATCAATCGATGAATCCCAACCCTCTCCTCACCAATCGTACCTTCGTCATACAGACGCTGAATTGCCATGACTCCATCCATCTTTAGAATTCCGGAGCGCGCCATTGGCATCGAAAATTAAAAGTCGTCACTACTTTACCTGAGTCTTTAAGTGCTGCAAAAATTCGTAATAACTCAGGGCCGACTCTATTCGATCTTCGATCAGCCGTTCCGTGAATAACTTTCTAAAGTGACTATCGTCGCTGAAAATTAAAAAAAAAATGCGTGTATTGTACACTATTGATCTAGCCATGCATACGATTTCAAATTTACTTTAAGTAAATACATATTTGCAAGTTTACCGTATGATTTGCACAGGAGCATAGTATGGCTTGTCTTCCTGAAGGCTGAACAAGAAATTACGAAGTCTCTCGCTCTCGACTGTATTCAGTTCTGGTAAATCGTACTTTTGACAAACGAAAGCATAATTTACATAAAACCAGAAAAAAAATGTGTCAAACTTGAAGCAATTGTCCTGAATACGCACCATTTCCTCCGGTATGGAGACGAAAGCAGGAACACCTAGCACGTTACTGCAGAATGTTTGGTGAATGTTCTTGCCGACGTATATAAATATTCTGTCTCCAGCATCCATCAGGAAGGCACCACGCGCATCAAGCTTTTCTGCGGACAAATGTAATCTCGGTGGTTGCGGACAAATTTTACCATCGATGTCAATAACATTCTGATCGTCCAGGGCGTGCACGTTATACAGATCCGGGTACACCAGTTGAATAAGCTGGTAAAGAGGTAGAGCCTTCAACTGGCACATGGAATACACGCGATCGTCTAATCGCGTGCTCGTTCCTGATCTAAACGCAATCTAGAAAAATTGTAAAAGAAATATTAGTATATAATTTTACACAGGCATCTCCATATTACGCATTTCAAAACTATGAAATGATCTATCAGCTTACGAATTTCAATAAAGCGAGGATGTACAGTGGCAGTAATTTCAAGTTATCGGGTGATAAGAGTCCGCCAGAAGGGCCAACCGATTGAGAAAGTTTATAGGCGGATAACACGTCGATTGCTACGTTTATCAGAGCATCACGGGCGTCCGACAAAGAAGACTGGTGCGATCTGTCCACAGCTGAAAATTTACAAGTTCAGGTGTTATGATTTGGATTATAGAATACTTGTGGTGAACCTCCCACTACCACTTACCCATTTTAGATAAAAGTCCTACTATACATTGTTGATCCGCCGAGTATAGGATGTCCGTAAGACTTCCTGCTACTGGTAAGCACAGTGTGTGCACCCTGATGCGTCTTTCTCCTGGAGTCAGTTAATATTCATTTAAATCATTTTCTCTTCTTTCGCCCACTCCCAATTCCTTCTTACCTCGACTCGACGTGTACAGGAGCGCTGCCTGGAAGCAGACGCTCTGAACGTCCGAAAGACTTTCCTCGATCGATATCTGCATTCCAAATCCGGCATCCGGATTGACGTTTGGCAAACTTAGCAGATCGGTAGACCGAACAAAGAAGTTTCCATGAAAGGTATGAATACTAAGACCACGGGTGCAGCGTATCCTCATCACAGCTTCGAAGCCGATCTTTCGCGTTAAATAACGGCGCAGCATCCTTTCGAGGATTTCCGTGTGCTGAGGCTTGTTTAAGCGGAATAATGGCAAGTGATAGATGCAACCACCCGAGAACTTGCACATACCGGCTGAAAAACAAATATTTTCCAATTTATCCATTTACAAAAGATGCCTTGTGCTGAATGGTTTATCGAAACAAAGGCAGCTTACACAACGTGGCCAGGTCGCTGTACTGACTATTCAGCAGGAATAAATCTACTGCGATTTGTTGTCCGCTACATTCCAGGGCGAGACGCTTGTAAAAGTCTGTAGCTGGGTTGAGATGCGGCACGTCTTTACCGGCTCTATTGTTAGGATCCTCCCTCTGTTGCAGAGCACCAGGTCCCAAGTTAGGTAGACACGTTTGAAATACAGTAACTCTTCCGCCCGTAGGAGACTATGAACGCCAATTGACCATGTGAATTAACTATTTTTCATAAATCATATTACAATATTTCCATCTGTCATTTATATTCACCATGAGTTTGAATGCTGCTTGCAGTCCCGCACCCAGGGCACTGTTTGTATCGTGTGTACCCTGGAACATTGTTGGGAGTTGTGCTAACAAATCTCTTACGAGTTCTTCGCGTTCCTTCAAATTAACTATCAAGTTGTCCGGACACGGCAAGAACACATCTAAAAGGAAATCACATTCATTAACGTGAACAGCCAACGGACAATCATTGGGAAAGTTCACTCACCTTCAACATCCAACATAATCATCTCGTGGGGCTGAGAGACATTGTCGGGCATGCTGTAGAAGTGAATTGCCGAGTCCACGGCAAGAAATCCAACCTGAGTCCTTCCATCCCCCGGCAATCTTCCCAATTCTTCAGCTATTGTGTTACATACTACAGTGAGGTATCCACTTTCGACAGCTAATCTCGATACATCCAAAATAAAAAGATAAACTGCTGGTTGCGGTGGTCGCAGCTGTGACAAAATAAAGAATGAACACCTGCTAATGCAGCTATATAAACATTTCAAGGTTTCAGGGAATCAAAGACTCACCATGTATTCACTAGGCGCTATGAATTCAATTGTACTGGTCTTTACTTCCGGTCTTCGCGAAGGATCGCCATACGATTTACTTACAGGATCAAATTGAAACTCCTCGGGAACTGTAATCGTAAATAACAAATTACCCTCCAATTGACATAGTCTGAGGTAGATTGTCTCGATACTAACGTTCGTTCACCCTGTAGCAAAGATTACACTTCCATCGTTTGGAGTCGACGAAATACACGAATGGATTGATATAGGTTCTACAAGCCCGGCAGCGGACGATCGTACTGCACTGTATCACGGGTAAATGCTGAAACACATTCTACATTTTTTTCATATTCCTAGAAATCTTAAATACACAAGTTTTACGCGTAGCGCATCTTACATTTAGATCTTTGAAGGGGTGTATGAGAACTCCCAATGGCAATCTTGATTTTTGTAGAAGTGAATTCGACTCTGGAATTTTCGTCAGAGTACACCTGAAAATACTGTCGTGGAAAGATAACATTGTGTAATCGAATCATTCATTCCATTGATATAATTTGATAAGACGATCTTAACGATTATGAAACTCACTCTGGACTGCAATTGACACTATCCAGAAATTCCTGGTGCAGAGTGATCTTGGGTGGTGCCACTTTTTCCGATGGTAATATGTTTCTGCATTGCAATAGGTCAACAGATTCCTTGCCCTGGAATAATTATCTATAGTATCTTAAGTGCAACCGTTATTATCGCGTATTACGCTATACAGTCGATAACGTACCCATAGTTTATTGAAACCTGTCTGCGCAACCGACATACCACTCATCTGATTGTTTAATTGATTCATATGGTCCGGATAAGATCCGGGATACCTTCTTGACATATTGTCCAAAGGAACATTAGTCATTTGACCAGGATATTGTGAGCGCGGATCATATTGACCTTGCTGTAATAAACATGAAATTCAATCACGATTCAACATTTTTAATATCAAACAAGAAACTTACCGTGAGCTGCCCCGGAGGAGGTTGAATACCAGGTCCTACCTGATACTGTCCTGATCCAGTAGGGGGTGCACCGGGTCTTTGTGGACCCGACAACGTGGGGCCCGACAAATTGGCAGTGGCAACGGTCTGCTGCACCCCATAAGGACTATTTTGTGGATATTTCCTTTGACTAGCTAAATTCGATTGACTCCCATACATATTTTGAGTTTGCTGAGGCAAACTTGACTGACTACCAAATAAATTTTGTTGAGCAGGTAATTGTGTAGGATACTGGCTCTGAGGTCTTGATTGTAGAGGACCAGAAAGATTTTGCGGGCCAGATAAATTCTGACTTGTGTTGCCGAATAAATTCTGCGTATTGGCACTCGTGTTTTGGATGCTAGAAGACATTTTCTCTACGCCTGCCGATAAATCCTGCACACTTGCCAATTTAGGCTGCTGTTGTGGATAACCTGGCACGTTCTGTATCGGCGAGGCATTTGGTCGAGGAGGTCCAAAAATATTCTGTTGAGGTTGACTTCTTGGTACTGTCACACTTGGAAGTGATCCTTGGAAAGTTTCACTACGACTTTGAGACAGAACGATATTCTGTGGTTGATTTGAACTTTGGGGTAGTTGATTTACAGTAGAAGCCGTGGTTACAACACTCGGCGGTTTCTGATCTATTCCAGGAGAATTTCGGCTTTGAATTTGCGACAAGGATGGTGGCAAATTCTGATTGATTCTACTCAATTGCTGTTGAACTGATGTCGTTGTTGCACTGGATGAATGTAACGGTTGGCTACTGACAGCCGGGAGCTGCTGGGCTTGGGACTGATGATTTGAAGCATGCGGATTCCCAGTTGGGAGCGAAACTTTATCGAAATCATTCGTGTTTTCGGCATGTTGGGGTTGACCCAACATCGGTGGAAAAACGGGATTATGTCCCGGATGTTCAGATTTTATTAATCCTGTAGAAGTGACCGAATAGTTCAACGCGTTGATACCCGATTCGACTGGCGTTGTGTGATTCGTGGTAGATGGCGACATTTCGCTTGCAAGAAAAGATGACTGTGAACTGGAAGCTTGCGTTGGAATTTGCATATTTGTATACGACGAAGCTAGCGTGGAGGCCGATACGGATGAATTTAAGATAGACGTAGGGTTTGAAATTGGCACACCGGGACCAGTCTGATTAGTAATATTTTGTGCTGATGTTAGAACTGATCTGTCTTGTGGAACATTTGTGACTCGCGGTGGTTGTAAGATAGGATTTCTATTTCCTAACTGTTGTCCATTAATGGGAGGCATCGGAGGCCTGGGCAATTGAGGTCTGTACTGATTGTGAAGAAACTGGGTTGGTGATGGATCTCTAGATGGTTCCCTCGAAGGGTCTCGAGATGATTGTGACGAGGGTGTACCTAGAACATGCAATTCCAAACCTAAACATCTGGATAACAATTGGAGGATTACACAATGACATGTTTTTCTTACTGGGTCCTTACCGAGAGGATTAATATGGGGATTTTGAACACCATTTTGCATAGGCGGCATGGCATTAGGTTGACCATTGATCATCGGTGGTAGTCCACTCTTTACCGTAGTAGCAGATTCTGGGAATAGTTGGTATTGGTGGTAACTACCTGGCTGAGACATTATGTTGTGTTAGAGAGTTGCTGAAATAAAAGATGCAAATTATGTAGTAAGTAATAAATAAGAATTTCAGTCAAGATAATAATTTGATGACTGATAAGCATTCTTTGATATAGACTGATAATTCTAACTGTAGAATCAAATACAGTTGTATTCTGTATGACATATTTTACTTGGCATATTGCTCCAACAATTCAATGTTGATTTAAAGTAAACAGACGTGATCAACAATTACCAGGGGCCAGTAAGCCTTACGCTTGCTCCCAAGATACTGTTCATTGTTAGATAATATCCAATATTTAAAAGTATAAGTTCGACGTAAAAACACGATGTACGCGATTACACGTGGCATACAATTATGCGATCACTATTGGGAGAGAAGAAAATATAAACGCGTCTTCGCGATAGTTGGTTACCATTGAATCAGCCAATCAAGAATGAACAGCATTATATTCAACTGTACAAAGAACGTATCAGCGCGAGTTCCCCTAATATAAGTAGCTTCAATTATAGCTGAAATTATTTTAAATTGCAATTCATAAATGCCGGCATACATGAAATTGTGGGAGTTGCGACACCTGTCATATAGATACATTTCAATTTCGATGAAAGACGAATATCTAGTCTGGATTCGCTAAATGAATTACACCCTTATAAATGAACAACGATGGAAAAAAATAATTAGTAGCATGACAAGAAATACGGCTAGCAAGATTCCCCACGCAACAAGCACAAATTGAAATGTTCGAAGACAGCACGAACAAATCATCGATGTATCAAGACGTGTCATTCACCGGACGCTCAGCATCTAACTTATTCACATTTCTCTCGGGCCAAACGACATACATGTCAGCACGTGCCGCTTTAAAATATATCCGAGAAAACGCAACATCATCGACTCAAGCAGCACGCGTGTGAAAGGTTAAAACGTCATTGAGAAACGACAGAACGAGCTGTCTCGATAGTTCAAGACTTTTTAGAGTATTTTTTTGCGACCCCACCGAGTCCTTACCTTCTCTCGTGATGTTTTCCTACAGGAGATTATACGGCACTACGTTTTAATCGTCACAGAATCACGCATTGCACTTCTGAGGAGGCAAATTTTCGACAATAATCTCGCGAACGTAACTCGCAAACGGTACACAACATTACGTGGCAGCTTAGACGATTGTGACGACGTTTTTCTTCGACGGGAAATCATTGAACTAGTCTGTGCGTCACGCCGTGTGGCCTACCACTCCCATCACATCCATTGAATTCACGAGCAGCAGCAACCAGGAAGGACATCGAAGAAATCGCCATGCGCAACGGTAATCAGGACGTCCTTTTGCGAATGGTACTTAGAGTTTCATCGAGAGATATCTTAAATTAACTGAACCGTGTTGCTAGACACGTGTATACGTATGTGACTGAATATTTATTTTTTCGATAAATAAATACATTTGACAGTGCGACGTTGGTTGGTGTATCATAATAGAAGACACGAAGCGTCGCGAGGTTCATACATTTAAAATTGCCAGAATTATATTAAACCTTACTCCGTACTTTTATTTTTGGCACCCTTAAACCCTACAGATGGGTCACTTTTGTCCGACGCCACAACTCAGACCTTTCTTGATCTTTCTAAGTATAGAATAGACTAATAGATTTTAACTATATTTTCTTTTATGAAATGGAGCGTCGATTTTGCGATCGTTAATTTTTGACGAATCGATATTGTTAGGAATTATGCGGACAAAAATGACCTGTCAGTACGAAGTACGAGTTAAAATATGATATTCTCGCTTAGAGCGCAGTAGCAGTTTTCGAAACGGATCGCACTGGATCTGCATCATTTCGAAATTATGTAGTTGCAATGTTTGCGCTCCGTTTCGGAATGCTGGGATAGAAAACTAGTAGTGCGTGTTGTGGCAGCGAAGGTAATACTTTTTAATCGGAGGATAAAGAGAAAAATACGAACGTGATTATTTCAATTGACACAAAGAGAATCCTACGTTCGCATTCCCTTAATTCAGTAATTAGATTAAAAGTGGAAGTTCAATCTATCTGAGCTCCCAGTGATTCGCAAAGCGGTTTCACTTTCTCTCGAAGATCACTAATATTCTTTTCTCGAGACTTAAGCAGTTTTATCCACGCAGCGGCCAGATCAAATTTTGCCAAGTACTGCTTCATTGTCTTCATTTTTAGGAGACTTTCTGTCAGAGATATAGAACTGTAAATTATAGCTGGCTCCAGGTTAGGTGCGCTTTCCTCAAGAAATTTCTGCATGGTGTCTCCAATTTCGGCATCGATAATTGGCTGCTCTGATTCAGAAGGACTAACGGTGATCATGATAGTTAAACTTAAAATAGCCTCATTTTGCATTAAAGCATGTTGAGCAGTCAACATTTTGACCAAATGCTTCACAGCATTGTGTCGGATTATGGAGTTAACAACATTTTTGTTCCTGAAAGAAAATGGCGCATAAAATCGGAAACGTGTAAAGGGAGAACATTTTGTGAATATACCTGCTATTCTTAATTAACCAGGAAATGAGACGGTTAGCTTCGCCCTGAACTCCTGGATGATCCTCTGTGCTGCACCATTCAACTACTTTCTTTATAAGATCTTCCCTCTGCCCGAGAGAAATAGCTGCTTCCTCTGCGTGGGATATTATAGATTAAATCGTTTTCAAAGAAATACAGGATCGTAAAGAAAAAGTCTGAATTACACTGACGTTGCCCGTCGATTACTATCCTGAGTGTGCCCAGCAGTTTGAAGACTACTGGATATGTTGGAATATCTAACATTGGATAAACTACGTTGACAAGACCATCTGCTAGCACAATAGGTTTGTTACAGACAGGAATAACAAGGTTTCGAAGTGCACTGAGGAGAGCGTGTTGTAGTCTTATGTCGCAGCTTCTATTATCATTCTCTTTGACTAGTCGAAGCAATTTTCGATGAACACCTTGAGCCACCATGAGCTCGCAATGTGCGTCGGTCCGTGCAAAATTTCCCATTGCCAAGACGGCTGCGACCTGGAGATCCTCATCACCGCTGTCCAACCAATCTACCAGTTTCTTATAAACAATTCCATGGCTCTGATCATAGAGCACGTCCATGCTTTCGTCTACAATGAAATCAAATCAATTTCGGAACGTATGCAGGAGAACACCATACTCTGATATAAATTATTTACCGCCTGCTAAAATCAAAACGATCAAATTGCACGCGACTTTTAGCACGGATCTCGTCTCTTCGTCAGTACAGAGAGGTCCATGTTTCTCCAAGAGTTTAAGTAGAAGTTCACAGACACCAGCTTTAGCTAATAAAATCTTTGTACTTTCTGAAAAGACAAGAAAAGCGTTAACTCAAAATTAGTCTTGGAGAGAAGGCTTTTGATGGACTTCTCCAATTACCATTTTCGGCTTGTCCATGAAGCAGCTCCAGACACATTTCCGAAAGTTCTGGCGATGCATCACTTGCCAATATGGCAACTAATATTTTCGTCAATCGCTCATCCAGAACATCTTGACCCAAGTCCGCCAATAATCCTAAAATTAACATTGCATGGGTTGCAGACTCACCAGCTGTGATTCCATCGTTTTCTAGAATACTGCAGACAATAGATAACACGTTTTCTTTCAAAGCCTGTAAATAGATAGTTTTTGAGAATAATTGAAGTACTTTTAAATGCCAAATTTATACCTCTTTCTGCAACTCATCCTGTCCAATAAGGAAATTCAATAACAATCCTGCAGTTACATTTCTTAAGAATCCAGCACCTTTGGCATCACCTAAACTTGCACTTTTTTTCAAGGCAATCAATATATCCTTCAGACCATTCTTTTTTTGTAATAATTCCTTTCCCTTTTCTAAAATGAAATCAAGGCTGAGATCCAACATTGAATAGGATGAAAATTATAAAATCTTTCATATACCATTCTCATAGCAAATATTGCCAAGCGCTCTTGAAGCTTGTGCCAGAATGTCAATGTCATCTTCCTTCAAAAGTGACATTAATTTTTTCACTAGATGTGCATTTGTAAATATTTCTCTTCCTCTTTCTATCTTTGCTACTTCTGCTATAGCCTTAGCAGTCTTTGCAATTACTATTTTTGATTCATGAGTCAAAAGCATTAAAAACACATCGTCAAACACAAATCCTGAGATTTCTAGAGCAAAGAAAAAGAACAAATTAATATAATATCCCATGAAAGCCAGTGAAAATGAAAAAGGTACCTCCAACTAATGTTTTGCTGACACTGACAAAAGAATCTAAGATCTGCATAATGTTTGTTATGCCATCCTCCTTAGTGTCAACCCCTGCTTCTGCTACTATTTTCAACTCTTCAAGCAATTGGCAAATATTTGGCTGTGCTTCTCCTGTGACGGTGAAAGTGCACAAAGTTAATCGGTAATAATTAATAAAAGACATTAATTAACAATACTCTACAGACTATGCATACCTTCCATTGCAGCTAAAGGATATTTTGAGGTAAATTCTTATAATATACATATATTCCTTATCCGATGTTCATTAAGGATTCTCTAGTGTCACTCAAAACATCTCGACAGAGATAGTAAATAATTTGTTGACGAAAGTTGAAGAACATCACCCACAGCCTTCGGAATGCTTCAGAAAATGACATGCGTGTGTGACGTCAGAGATGAGTAGGGAGATGCACAACGCTACAAGTTAGGCGATACCGGCAATACCACTGAACTCTAAACATACTGGAATCCGTACGCCTGTATTCGGAGGTAATCCGGCCAGCGCGCAACTGTCTCACTCACATCGTGGATAAGGTTGTCCTTTTCGAATTGAACTGCACATGTGGTGTACAAGTCGTGCAAAAATGTTGTCCTGCCGACATACCTATCAGTACCTCCCGTGGTGCGATGGAAATAGCACTGACATACAAGTACATATAAATCCTATCTAGGCTCCATCACATAAATATAGAGCCCTATAAAAATGACAAAAAATATTTAGCAGTCTTCGATATAAAATATATGTGCCACTATTTCAGGTTATGTTATGTCGGCTTAGTCCTCCCCATGCGCACTGCTTTATCACAGTTTAAACTTTTTCAGAGACTGCACAGTGTGTGATAAAGACAGTCTGCTACACTTACTTGCGTCCTTGCTATCTCTCTCTGCATAGTCCGCACCACTGCCCTTCGGATTCCAGTATGGTTAGAGTTGAATGCTTTTTCACTTGCTTTCCCTCTAGATGCAGAAGAATAGGGAATTTAGCTCGTGTATTCCCTAGAAAATAAACAGAATCGTTATAACTAGTTTTCCCTGGGCCGATTATATTTTAAAATGTCTGCAGAGGCCAAAAATGTTTCAAATTATTCCGATGCAATTTCCTACGTAAAAGACGACTTGTCAACCGAGGTGAAACACATAAAAAGACGGAAAGAAAGATTTCAGGGTAACTTTTTCTCATACATAACATGTTACATTAACTCCATTGCTCATAGAATGATTGCAATTGCCTATTAAGTAACCTATAACCTAGAAAAAAATGAAGTATAAACAACAATGTACACCGATATATATTTTAATTTGTTGGTTGATTCCATTGTGTAAGTATAAGTACTATAATGGAATATGTCCTAAAGCTAATAACGTGTCAAATTATATATATGAAATTCATTATAATATTTGTATGGAACTATAATAAATTTGTGTTTAACCTTAGCTGCAGTATTCCTAAGCGCTGTAACTGGTGTGTCGATGCTCATTGGTTTTGGAAGTGCAGTGGCAGCATCAAAAAAGAAAGATCCAAAGTTTTTCAATGAGGGCATAGCAGGATTCAAAGGAATGACTGAGACTGGTGGTTCTCTGGCAATGAGAGCCTTGGGATGGGGCACGGCTTATGCCATTACAGGATGTGGCATATTGTTCTATAGCATCTGGAAAATATCTGGAGCTAGCACTGCTGAAGAATTTCGAATAAAAATGGGATCCATTCTACCAAGAATACCAAAGAACAATCCTCCAAGAAGCAGAACAGATTTCGAAGGATTGACAGATTTGATGACCTACATTTCAGAGGATTGGGGCAAAAGAAAAGACCAGGGCACGAAGTAACTGTCTTGTATATTTCTAATAAATCTTGTACAGTATATTTATACTATTGTAATAAAATGTGTATACAACTAGCAGTACATAGACAGTTATCCTCTACCGGCATTGCAAACATCTAAACACTCCTGTCGATAATCTAGAAGGTGTTGACATCTGTCGGCGTAATCGACCGTTCCAACCGACACCAAAAAGCTTACTGTACCTTTACTAGTAAATAAATTCAGCGGTAGCTTAAATTAAGACTACCCTATCAAAATGTTCGCTACAGGATGCATGAATTAACCGTAATAATTCATATAAGTGAATCCCTTATGAAAAAATGCAGCTTCGTTGCAATTAGGTCGCGAAAAAGGGGTTAGGACAAATAACGCTTTCCCTTCAGGCCATTGACAAAATTATAAATAAACTAAATAACGATGGTTGAAGCAAGAGATCTTCAGAACAAAAGACCGGTCCAAGAAGGAAAAAGTATATTTCGAATAAGATTTTAGCGCAGCCTCCTACAAACTTCTGAGAAAAAGCTAACTATTACATGTATGTATATACTTCGGTAAACTCATCCCAAAGCAGCATTAGGTTGGTCCGCTCATTTTCGTGTCACTGATGACGCGCGATTGGTGAATAGTAATCGTTCACAGGTCGAAATTATAAAAGCAAATGAATGCTCACTCAGTTAGCCAATTTGCTTTGACGTAGTACCATTTAAAAAACTACTCAACTACGACGTTAATTTTCAGTTCCAAAAATGAGTCATACAGAGATACATCCGATGATGATCTACAGGCTCTTCCGTTTCCACTGTGCATATTTATTCATTACGATATGAAAAATAAATGTCAAAAGACGTACTCCGAGACGCAAATCCGAAAGAAAGTATCTATTGAGAATTTGATAGTCACATATTTTTTAATACAAAAAACGCTTGTGCTATATTCGTAAATATTTTTTAATGTATAATCGTAAAAAAAAAAGTATATTTTTCGAGCAAGGCGTAAATATGTATACGTTTTGTCTTCTGACACTCGTGAAGTCATAAGGTACATATTATACAACAAGTTTGTTAAGCACCATTTTCAAATATTCCATGTAAATGTAAACCAGGAGAAAAATTCTTCGACGTTCACTAACAATTCCCCATAGTTGAAATGTAAAATTGCTCCAGCAGTCAATTTGAATTATTTATTGTCCAAAAGAATGACAAAGAATTGAATTGCATTCTCGATACGTACTGGAATAAGATTCAAGTCCAAGTCCAAGAGTAGACGGGTTCAATGCCGCATAATACTATTAGCTGTTGTAGATTCCGTCAGACAATATTAGTCGTTGCTTGTCAGGCTTCTGTTAACTTATGTTTTGTTTACGATGCATTTAACCTTTGAAACTATTAAGTACTGCACTCTGTTTCGAAATATTAATATACTTAACCAATAAAAAAATTTGATTCAGTGCTCAGGGAACGTGTTCACAGTAATTCTTGAAAACAGTAATTCCAATAACCTTATCAGTTATCACTATACTAGTCACGCGATGACTGAATATGGCTCTCTGCAACTGACACCAATTTAGGTGAAGACGTGAGTTCGCCCGAAATAATTAGCAAAAAAAAAAATCGAAAATCACGGAAGAAACAGCGAATAAATTTCTGACTCTTATTTAAGAATACAAAGTTCAAATTCAACGTCGAGGTCACGTTACGTTATGTCTTACAGCGAAAATATTTTCACCGCGGCTTTTAAACATACAGTCACAATACCTTTAGGAAACGCGTGGAATCGTCTGCTCGAAATGCAAAGTCATCAAACAACGTACCATAGAGAGTTACGTAATATCGAATGAAACTGCACAGCTTTCCCTGGTAACACGTAATATTCCAAATGGCGTTCAAGACGCCTAATCGTACAGGAGTTATCATTTATTGTTAGACATCTTAACCTTATAATCACCCTGGGGTAGAATTTGTGAACCTGGAAAATAAGTGGGACTATACAGATTTAAAGATTACTTTTGAATGTATGTCTTGCCTAGGATTACGTGACGGTCATCACGAGAGATCGTATGCCTTTCGAAAGAGAAAATTTACGTACGAGCTAATATTAATTTCTCTTCCGAGATATCGAAATATTCGATTATAATCACGGCTAAGGCCCATGTCCAGAAAGAGTTCCTTAAACCTGGCAGACCGGCCGACTGTTAGATGTTGGGTCACAAACCACTTCGTCGGTTCCTCAATTTTGCTCGGTACTCGGCCGTTTCGTGCAATAACCCACCTCTCATGGACTCTGCGTAATGTTTGCGAGTTGGTCCTAGGTTAGATTCGCAAAAACCGACCAGATGTCACTCCAAGTTTCGATGGATCAAACTTGGGAATTGTGCTGCAGCCAATCGTAGATTTTCAGTCGGTTTATATCTGAGTCAAGTTCCCGAGTTACAATTTCATTTTCTTCCCTGTCCCAGCAAACTCAGATTGTTACTATTATACTGCATACGTGTAACGCAGTAAGGTAACAATTCTAATCTTAAGTACTAGAGATGTTACAATATTTCGGTGTGACTGCATTAAAAGGGATACTTGAAGTGGTTTTAGGTAATCCTGAATCGGGATGGGATGTGTTAGTAACTATTTTTGTGAAAACTTACATCAGCACAGCATCTTGGTACGATTTATTGAAAGGGAAATTTTTTGTAGCTTTTAATACGCACGCGTCTATATGTACATGTTTGATCACCTGTTTAAAGCGGTTTTTTTACTATTATATTGCATCAACAGCGGTGGATTTGCGGGGACCAAATAAAAACAAGTCGAATGGCAACGTTTGTTCGACTAATGAAATCATTTGCATCTCATACATCTACTTTTAAAAAGGAGTCGTTGAATTTACGAATAAATAATTAACGCGACAACTGACGCAGGTGGTAATAAGAAAACAATAATATTTTAGAGTCTCTTTATCCAAGCAAATGCCTCTTCTTAACGATAAGCACGTCTCGATTTTCTTACAAAAAATTATTTACTCCCGCCATTAAAGCCCACCTTTGAATTTCCACGGATCTTATTTATCGGTCTTATTTAGCGTTACGCAGTTACCCATTACATTTAATCTACATATGTCCTCGTGCGCTAAAAAAATTCACACGATTAACAAAACAATTTATCTTCATTGATTATGGGTTCAAAAAAAGAAATAGATAACTTATGTAAGAGTGAACTGATTTTTTAACTCTAATATTAGCATGAATACCAATTATTGATCGACAATAGTATATTCGTTATCGCGGTGAACAATATAGAAATTCAGTATTAAGATCTAAAAAAAATCTTTTTCTAATGCAAACTAACTTACCGGATACAGTACCGCATGAGCGACCGATTTTCTTTGCCTGACCTTCGTGCCAATTTGCGACCTACGATTGAATTTGAATGTAATTGTAAGTATAATGAAATTTATATATATGACAGGAAGCAAGGAAAACGAAGACCCGTGTCGAGTATACATACTTACCTATAGGTATTTTTTGCTCTTGCAGTATTGAAAATTAACATGAGTCCGCTTACGCAATGCATGCCACGCATTTTCCCTGACGTTTATCATCTGTCAGCAACTTATTTCCACCAGCCAATTAATCAGTATATTTATTATCTGGTGCGCAAAAACCAATGGGGAACTGGACCAATTTTTTTTCATTTTTTTTGAATTGTGGCACTATAAAAATTATGAATATTGATGCTTAGATAAATAATATGTTCATATTTGTTAAAAAAATTATATTAAAAATCATATTGCACAAATAGCAGTCAAAACGCCCTATTGAGTCACGTGAAAAAATGGTCGTAAATTCTCATATACGGATAATGTACAATGTCCACAAACGTGGATATTATCAACCGACGTGCACAGGTTACCAATGATTACCAATAATACTTCTCATGTGGTGTGATAGGTTATACATATTATGAAAAGGTAAGCACTCGCCAGATCGAATACGGGCATTCCTGATTGGCTATTTGGCTATAAAATAAACACCATATAAGGAGATGTGGTTGTGACGTCATGGCCAATCAAAAAGTGTTTTCGCTCCCGCACTTTATAGCAATGTTTTAGCAAATTTTAACATCGATTTTCTTAATGTTTAAGTAATAAATAAATTATCTAATCAGCTTTCTGGCATTCTACGATCATATTCTAGCAAATTACTGAGACAGATATTGAATTCCCGTCACAGTCCAGTTCCCCATTCGATTACTGGACGCATGAAGTCGATCATCTTACGAAAACGCTTCGTTTATTCTCGTCATCTTATTGACGATTGACAATTAGCTGCAACAAAGACCGCAAAGATGTCGCTGCAGTCTGCAAGTAATTCAGCCGAACGCCGAATCGTGGAACTAATTGATAGAGCGAATATTGGAAAGGAATGTGCATGGACGGTACAGGCGGTAAAAGATTCAGGTAGAATTAACAGAGTTACAGTATAATACAATTTTCAATTTTTATCTTTATTTCTCGTTATTAGGTATATATACACGATAACAAAAGTGCGCAGGAATATGAAAAATGTCAGTTTCCTAGTGAACGCATTCGTATTGTCGCACCCGCGCAAACTATTATTTATCACAGAGCGGTACACGATGCATGCCCGATCGGTCGTCAGCGGTGGAAAAGAAAAAAAGAAAAGAGAAATACGAGTGTCGTAAGACAAAAGAAATTTAATCCGCAGAGACGAAAAATGTAAAACGGGCGAAATTATGAGAATCGGCCGATCACCGAGGATCCCGAAATCGGACATGCCATTTGTGCAAACGTCTCCGCGAGGGACTTTCGACAACCGCTCGCTTCAACGAAGAAAACGGAACAGTGAAAAGGGTCGCAGGGGAGGGACACGAGAATCGAAGCTATGCGACATTCTATTCACTTTTATACAAATCAAACTCAAAAGATCCTTTTACGTACTTTCGGACGGTCCTAAGGATACGACGATATCGATTGAAAATTAAAAAAAAATTCTGAGCCCGACACCTCTTCTCTTCTTTTTCCTTCTCATCTTACTCGCGTGCAGATGTTCTTATCTCTTTCTCTCTCTCTCTCTCTCTCTCACACACACACACACTCCATTTAAATCGTTCTTTATTTCATAAGACTATTTACAACTATCGCGATTATTACACTAGTCGTCAATCGCTAATCACTTCTCCTCTCGATGTCTTCTAAGGGCAGTAACCTCCGTACAATCCAGTATTATCTTACGCAATAAGTCATTGATGCACTCATTTTTGATCAGCCGCACTCGACACTCTTGAATCTCATGCGTGCCAAATGAACCTGACATTATGCAATGATCGTATTTTACTGATACTTTTACACAGTTTCAATATAAATAAAGAAATATAGCACATAAAAAAACATTCTAGATTGTCGTAAGCGTTTCCAATTCAAGTTCAAATGGTACAGTAACGAAGATATCTCAATCTACATATTCTATCCTAATATACCTATCGGCAATAAAACTAATAGATAATCCCAATAATTAAGACCCTCGAAATCCATTCGTTGGCAAGTGATTAACGGACAATTGCATAATGAAAAAAAAAAAAAAAAAAACAATCAAAATATATTTACAAATAAGTTTTGTGCGTTTGTGAAAAAAAAAATAACATCCAAAATAAAGGAGAATTATGAAAAAGTCTCTAATCGATCTTGCGCTCTCCCGGGTTCGCTGGGACGACGGTCCCTTCTTCGTAATTCGAGGTCGTAATCGATTGCTGCCGATTTCTATGTCAACGAGTGTCTAAACGTTACTGGAAATCTCATAGACGATTCCTCTAAAGTCTCTAGACACGTCCACGATTTCGGCTAATCCACTTTGTTCTCTGTCGAGATACAAATTGGCTGATAACCGAGCTCCAGCACTCCGATCAGTAATTTAAATCAGATTGGATTGCCAATCGTGTTTCTTTTTACACTTTACACAAAGCACATGTGCACTGTCGACTAAGATCTTGCTGGCCAGTCCAGACAATAGGTGTCTCAAACGAAAGGAGGAATAACAAGTCGGCAATCCAAAGTACTCTTGCATCCTGGTGTCTGGACCAGATGACACCGGAAAGATTGCATCGCAGAGCGACGGCACACGCGTAACGTTTGAAGTGGCTAGACGCTTTAAGGACGACGTACGACTAGTGTCTTGCGAGTCTAATTTATTCAAGCTCTTTCTCCATTATCCGTTAAGACAGTAATTACAACGTGATCGATTGAAGCGAAAAAGCATTCGTTTCGTTTTACGATTCGTTTTCGCTTCGAGCTGCAAATCGAAGATCAATTCGTTCCGTGTATTCAGCGAGAGCAAGATATCTAGTCGCGTATACGTGCAATGGATGCAGCGAGCCTGGCCAAGTGGCTGCGCCTGAATCGACCTACTTTTTTCAATGCCCGGCAATAGTTGCTTTTCGAGCCGACCGCAACTTTCCGGAAATCCAATGAGCCGCCAAAGCGAATCAGACGGCTGACCGTCTTTCGACTCTTGGTTTCTGTCGCATCTACGGAGGCTGAAGCGAATCGCCAGAGAAAGAGAAAGGTCGTGTACTGCGTCCTATATATTCCTCGATCGATGCTAGAAGCCAATTTGTCTCGAAGCTCCTCGAGATGCATCCCGCTTGGCCTTCTGCCAAGTTCCTGCCGGATTTCAAGGAGTCCAAGGCCACCGGGAAGTTCTCTTCTATAGCTGATCAGGTGCTCGTGGGTTGTTCTAGCTAAAGATATCTCGGTTTCCTCGTTTTTTCGATTGTTCGATTCACCTTGCGAAAAGGGAAAAGTCGCTTATGAAAGCCCCTGAGAAGTAAGAGAGAGAGAGAGAGAGATGGCCTGCGTGAAATGGGCGCTCCGGCGATCAGGTGATGTGCGAACATTTCAGACTTTTGCACGTGGATGTACGGCAAGGCTATTGCAGAGAGAGAGAGAGAGAGAGAGAGAGAGAGAGAGAGAGAGAGAGAACAGCATCCGTTAGATCAGCTGTGAGAAGAGACTGAAGGGTAGGCAAGGAAGGAAAGAAGACCGATTAGCTGACTAGCCGGCTACTACTTGATTGACTGGAGAAATGTCCAACAGGCCGAAACCATGACCTAGACCGTGAACTCGATTGCAAAAAAAGAGCATCGCCTCGCTGAAGACTTGTACGCGACAAAAGTCGAGGAAAGTCAGGCAAACGGGTAAAGAATAAAAAAAAAAAAGCAAGTAGCGAGTAGCGTGTCGTGGAGTCGTTACCTCTGGAGATGACGAGTATCGCGATTGTTTTTGGTGTCTGATTGTGAGCCGATTTCGAGTCTCGGCTCCTCAGCCCTACTAAGTCAGCGCATTCCATTCCACGCGCGTCGTTATATGCAATACAAATCTTGATAATGCTTCGCTATATGGGCCACGACTTTTACTTTAGAGGACGTCCATTACCGCCTCATCGGTGAATGCTAATTAGCGATTGCGTGAAACTCCAGGGTGCCGCGCGAGGAAAATTTCGTCCAGTACGTCGAAAGTAGAAAGACAGAATGTGGTGGGAATCGTATCTCAATGCAAATTTTTCCCTCGTCATCGGCACTCGGAATGAGCTTCAGTAATAACTAGGAAGAATCTGAAGGTTAACGATTCGCCTGAAATTTCAATTATTTCGGAAGATGTATTACTCGCGACCTTGACGGTCTTTCTCCTTCTCTGGATCAGGACAGCCTTCGACTTTTCTCTAGTGAACGCGACGTTGCGACAGTATGCTGCTGAACCTACATTGCGCGACAGCCAAGCTCGACGAATTTTCTCCATGGGAATTGGGCTCTTTGAAATTGAGCCGCAAGGCAAAATTGAGCTATCTTGAAATGTACCTTTCACGATCTCTCTCCGGGCGATGCGTTAGCACGCAAAGACAAAACACCATCCGAGAGTCCAGAAATGTTTTGCGTCGCAATAAGGACGTAGCTCCGCGCACAGTATTACCAATGGAGAATAAGGTGAACAACCGAAAGACCGAAAGACCGAAAGACCGAACGACCCACCCGTTATAAATAACTTTTAAAGAATATATTAATAAATTGACAATAATAAAATTATGATATTATTCATTATTAAGTCCTCACAATAGAGTCAGACTGCTCGCGAACGATCGAACGTCAAACCCTTGTGCCCAGGTACCCATATATCCCCGACCCACTTTATTAAATCCACCCTTACCATGCTACCACCAGTTAATTCGAGATTAGCGTCGATTGCAACGTCCCGACGGCCAGCCCCGCTGGCGCAAAAATAATCTTTTTCGATTATCAATCTCAATTTGATTCTAATCCTCATTTTGAATTGCCGAAGCTCGCACACGATCGTGCAAGCTCACGTTTATCTTTCCTTTTTCGCTTTCGTTCCTTTTTCCTTCGCGGTCCGCCGAACGTCATAACCTTCTCACTCTTCCGAGAACGTCCTCTCTTCCAGAGAGAAAGGCTCTTCGATATCTTTGGTACGAAGCGATACGCAATCAGTCACTAAGTGAACTCTGCTGACGTTGACCCGTGTTATCATACAGATTTAAACACATTTCTTAAACTTTTTTTTTTAACAATTTTTGTTCGTCGCCTTTTCTTCTCTTATCAATTGAAACCCTCATGTTGTCCCAACAGTGCGTTATCTTATCGCGGGACGAATTAAGTATTTATTAATATTAGAGATAACCGGTGGTCGACAATACAAGCTACAAAATCTCGACGAGATCAACCTGATGGGCTTACTTGCCTACTTTTGTTTTATTTTCGTAAACATTCGTTCGTTATGCCACGATGACTGGAATAAGCTGAGAGCTCTAACGGTATTCTCGAGAATTCAGAAAATGGCCAAAAAAGCGCTACCTGGATAAAAAGGACGGGTACGAAACATCCCGTAAGCTTGCAGTAGCACCCACTCGCTGATCCTTGGTAATGATCCAAAATGGAAGTCGGGTTGCCTATTATTCTACACGCTTAAACGTCTGCATCGACGTTTAAACAAATCTTTAGCTAATTCTGCAAATTTTACTACGTTCTTCTCGAAAGACGTTCTACTTCATGTACTAAGTAGCAGATAATTATTGTAAATGTGATAACGGTTGTTAGTACTTGCGATTAGTAGTATAATATGTCTAAAGATTGTAATGCGAATCGGGCGAGTGGAGCGGTCAGAATTGAACAGGGCTGCATGGCGACTCACGAGATTTTCCGCTTGTGACGAAGATTGCCTCTCACGTTGCATTTGGTAACCTGGTGAAACGAGATGTGACCAGAACGGGCTAGGAACGTCGCACGTCGTACAATATATTAATCGTAGATCGATTAGAGTTGCACGCAGAGAGACAAGAACGACGATACGCTCCTCCGGTTATCCCAATATATAGCTTTACTTACTTAGGATCGAGAGGCGTCGGAGGTGTCTAATTGGCTTTGAGCTTGCCGTTGCTGTAATCCGCGGCGATATGACTGTTTCCATTGCTGTACATCTTCTTATCGGACCTGGAGCGTCCACCTCCCAAATAAGCCTTGTGGAAGAATCTCGCGAAGAGGACAAAGTAGCTGAAGTACATCATCAAGCTCAGCCTGATGTTTATCCTGGAGATGTGGCACTCTACTTGATTTAACTCAAGGTACTGGTATGCCCATACGTTGATCGCACAACCGATTACCATCTGCGTCAGTTGTAGCCCCGTGATCACCATTGAGATCCATTTTGGAGGTGAGTATCGCATTGCTTTCAGGGCGTAATAGGAGTACATTATCGAGTGCACGCAGTAGTTCATCACGACAAACCATCTGGCGGACGCCGTATACTCGGTATAGGAGAACCATGCGTAGAGGAGGACCGTAACGTGATGGTACCAGTGCAAGAAGATCAGCGGTTGTTTCCGCAATACGATAAATACCGTATCGCCCAATTCAGGAACCTTCGAGAGCACGAACATCCATGTCCAGAAACCGGATACGCGATCATCCTCGATGAAGCTGAAAGTCAGAATACCTTGTTCGTTTTCTTTCTTGATTATCTCTCGAAATAGCTTCAAGCAACGGCGTAAATTTACTAATTGTAAGCTTTCGTGAATGGACATAACTGATCTCTCAATTTCTGATTCTCAATATACTCGACATACTTGCTCATTCGTCCAACTGATAAAGCAATTATCAATTATTAATTTTCTTTTTTGACACTCCATTGCTAATGGAAGTAGAAAGGAGAATTAATCGCGGCAATAATGACATCTTGGGTCACCTTGAAGTGACTTTATAACTCTGAAAGGATGCAGCAATACTTCTTGCTCAAAAGAAAAAAGATGTGGAAAAAGGAGGAACAAGCAATGAATCCATAAGCAGGATCTTCGACTGGAAGATGCATGAACCAAATTTTTCTCACCTGGGTATGCACACGCTGTGGTAGAGACCATAGTTCCTGAGGACATGAATGAACTCTGGAGCGGTCCTGGTGAATCCTATTATGGAGAAAGTCGCGAGGAGTGTGTTCCAGAGACTGAGAACCCCTCTGAGGTCGAATTTCGGTCTGCTAGCCATGTAGTGTTGTCCGCCAAAGATCAGTATCATATAGATACCGCAGAAGTAGAAACAATTCGTCCAGTGTTTGGTCATCCAAGCCCTCGTGTCCTGATGAATGAATTCCTCTTCAAAATTGAAGACGTAGGAGTAGTTGGGCCCAGTAACCTTCATGTAATCCATCTTGTTCATCTTGATGATTAAGTGTAGTCGGTAAGACCGTTTAATCTATTAATGAGACGATTTAATTATCAAAACTACATGGTATACCAATTACGATAAATTTATCGGCAAGTTCAGAAATGGTTATGATTATTTGACTTCATCACGTGGTGCCCACGAGCGACGAATAACACGTTGCAGGTATCGTTTCGTAAAAATGATACAACGAACTCTAACTAATCGGTTGAGAAAGTCTTTTATCAGCAACATGAGATTGAAGTGTATTTAACGTCATATAGCGTTGAATGGCCTGTTTATCCATTACTCTGGAATTCAACTAAACGATTCTCCTTTAGCTCATTCACCGTATCATTCTAATCATGCTACTCTTTACTGTAAAACGGTACACGTGGGTGTTCCGTAGCCGATATCACGTCTGGCGTCCCGACGTCCCACCTAGCCCCGCGTGGAAATCCTTCTGATAAACGATAGAGAAGGCCATTTTTACGTGATTTATCTTTTTGCAAGTAGACTGTATTATTGTCAATGCACGTTCGGGGCTCCGCGTGACACGAGTGTCCTGCGCGGCTCTGCTTCCCGCAACCAATGGAACGAAGTAACGTAACCCCAATAACACATGATAATGCATCGGACAAACGTGATGCACATGTCGACTGCTCTGCCGCGTGCAGTCGACAATTCTCTAAAAAACGCGAAGAACATTCACCGACGAAAATACGCCGGAACGAAATTCATTGCAACGATCTCTCTCGCCTTCGGGCGAGTCCGCACAATTTCCTTCAGCGAGTTACGAGACATGCCATAGAAAAGAACACGCGTTCCATCGCTTGCAAGAGTGAGTGGAACCGAATAAGAGAAAGACAGAGCCACGAGAGTGAAAGAGAGATAGAGGATCCCAGCCACGTACGGCTAAAACCCAGTAACCGTCTATACAAGTACATCCCGAGAAAAATGAATGAGGTGTCTCTGCATCAACTGGAGACATCGGCAAAGCTGGTGCTCAACGTACCGTTTGCGACTTGCGGGAAGCGGGTCAACCGTTTCAAGTAAAGATACCCGCTACAATTTCCAAAATCTCCGGTGATCTTGATGAAGCACAGCAGTAAGATCGTTGCCTTCCTGAAAAACCTCGTGGAATCGAGTGAACCTTGATCCTTGGTACAGCGTACGTATAAGTCGCCGGTCGACGAGGCCCTTCACGATTACTAGTTCTCGTTGTGACGCTCTTCCACGGTGCTCCCGTAGCCTCTGGCTTGGTCAATTCGGTGCGGCGTGTGCGAGTCCCTTTGGAACGTTTCAAGCAAATCGATAAATAAATAAATACGACAGGCCTGAGAAGCACTCCCTGAGAGCACTGGCCGCGCTGTCGACAGACTGACTGACTGAGACTTGTTGGCCGACTGGGTGTGTGGCTCGTTGCACGATGTTACTAATGAAATAGCCAGAAAGTAGGGATCACCTTGTGAGGAGCAGCCTACTGAGATTCGGCTTTCGCGCGGCGTCCACAGATTTTATAAATTGGAGTGTTACACACCGCACCGCACGGCAACTCCGAATCTCACGTTCACGTACACCCTGCGACGACCCGCGGGAGACTGCTGCTCTCTATCTTTTGTACTGGTACTTTAGCTAGTGAAGTCGTTCGACGCTCCTGGATCCTCCGCGACAGAGGTGTGGTGTGGGAAGTGGCCACCAACAGAAACAGCAGCTACTTGCCGACGGATACCGACGAGATCGACCCACCAATCCCATCTTGTCTTTACTAGTCGCTCTCCCTCTATTCGACCTGCATCAGCCTATTTCCTGCTCATGACGTAATTCCGATCACCCGCCATTACTGAAAAAACTAGACTGGACTACTTTTTGTACACAATCCAATGTTTTCCTCCTTTGATAATTCTCTGTGAAAGCGAGTAACCGTGCGAATAAAGCAATGTCTTTCTCTAGCGTTCCATTGCCTTCTTATTATTAACATTAATGAAAGATGCTAACCGAATGCCGGTAACCAAAGACAATTGAAATGAACGCATCCATGCTTCTTGGTTCGTCCAACCGCGTTGATGTTACCATGTTGCCAATATGAAAGCAAGACATCGCGAAGAGCTAAACTTTTAATGAGAGTTCCATTTATTTGTGGATGCGATTACAATATGAAAGTGTGAAAGAGTGGGCAGACTGTTAATGTTAGAAGATCATTTATGTGGTAACATGAAATAGAATTTTCTTGCCATATAAAATTTAATAAATTTAATAAACCTTCGGAAGTTGCATAGGTTATATAGTTACGCACGAGAGACCGTCTGACGTTCCATGATTCAAATTAATTTTGTATTATAGGTATACATATACAGCTAGACGTTAGAGAGTAAGGGGAAACCCAGAATAATTGAGGAAAAATAGTGAACGCAATAATTGGCGTCTGATATCGATGTACCATTACTTATTGTGAATCCGGATGATAAACATGGAGAAGTATAAGCAATTGCGCGAAAGCTTTCTGAAAATTTCAGAACTTCACATAGACAATATTACATTAAATGAATTAAAATTGAAGTACAAGTATTGTATTAACTCGAACCGTACGATGGGTTATATAAAGGATCTGGAATTTCTGATTAGAGTACTTGAAAAACGTACTATACTGCGTTATAACAATATCGAACCTCTTAAGTACATTTCAACGCAATATGTAAAAGATCCTGCTTTGGATTTGATTTTGAGCAAATATGATACTGAAATTAAGACTATGGAGTATTCACCATTTTATAAAAGTTGCAGTCAACAAAGTGGTAAGAATCTTTTGTCTAGAACACCATCTCAAAATAGTATCTCACATACGAATGCTTCTAATTATTATATGGAAAACAATGAAAATCCTGTATTAAAACCTTTATTGTCTAATCCATGTTACCACACAATGCTCATGAACGAAAATATGTCTGTCCATATCAAGTTCCAAAGAGCAATTACGCATTTAAAATCGATCAATATACTCTACTACGTTGGTTTACTGTTGATTATTATTATTATTATTATACTATTCTTTCTTGTCATTTATATTAAAGATTCATCTCCTATTCCATCTATGCAAATAACAAATTTCGACAGTGTTAGATATATGCCAAATATAACATATGTATCAGTAACAATGGTAGAATCAAGATTACCACAAAGCACAGCATTACCAACATATGACCCTGTGGAATTGCAAACACAGTATGATCCAGTTCCAATAACAGGATCTTCCTTTAATAAGAAAGAACAGATACAGAGAAAAGGTAAGCATAGACAAAAAACTTTTCTTTAAAATTAAGTATTACTAAACATTGCAATATTATTTTGTTTTCAGTATTTCTGCGTATTAGTGAAGAATTAGGTCGTTTTTGGAGAGATTTGGCAAGACATTTGAACATTAGAGAGTCTGAAATTGATGCTATAGAAAGTCAAACAAATCTAGATCTCAAAAACAAAGCTTATGAGGTAATTCTTAATAAATTGGCTAAACAAATTGTCCGCAAATTTCTAACACTGTCTCTTAAATAGGCACTAAAAATTTTCGCATCTCGAAGTGATGACGACAGTTGGAAATCTGATTTGCTCCGCGCGTTAGACAATTCAAGGCGCAAGGATATCAGAGAAATGGTGGAAAAACATTTACTGTTTCAAGACAAATAATTCTTTATTATAGTAAATATGAATAAATAGAATGTGATACATAAAATGAGCCAAACATCTATAGATGAACTGAGGTTCAGTCATCAGCCTTTTGATATAATAGACAATACAATTATTATCAGTACCGATGTTATTGCATTATGTAATCTACATTCTATATTTGAATTTACTTCGTAAGAAAAACATCTCTTGTATTATTTGATAAGATTTTATAAACTGTATTCTGTTACGGTTGAACTGCTGGAGTTATTATTTGAAGAATAATATAGTTCATAGCGGACTGCTGTATTTGCATCAGTGAAATCCACAACGTCTTTTAAAAGAGTGAAGACGAAATTGAGCAACAAATTACAGGGAATAGTTGAAAAACAAATACATTTATTTTGGAGAGCATACAACGAAAAAATACAGCAAACTGCCGGTATCACTTCCAAAATATGCTTACAAGAAATATTTTACACTATGGTAATTTTCTATATTATATTTCCTTGAATTTCCTCGTTTAATTAATAACTCATTTATTAATCATCACTCAGTCACGAATCACCAAAGAAATGTGTAATAACGACAAGACAATTTTGACAAACTTACAGTTTCATTTTGTAGCATTTCTATAATGACACTATTCTGTTGATCGATAAATTATCTCAATGATATTTGCTCAGCAATATTTTTTCTTTCATCTTGATGATCCATTGAGAATACGTTACGGCGACATGGCTGGCGGTTTCAATGATATATTAATAATTATATTTAATCTGGATCAATAGCTTAAACCGTGTAGGTGTTTTTTGTAAGACTTCCTGCCTTGACCATCGTATCTTTGTGTATTTGGTATCCTATAGTAACCTTTGATGTGATTCGCAATCGCTCTTTCAGCTTGCGTCTGTAAATAAAATTCATATGTCTCATAAAATATGATTTTGGTTTTAAGAAATCTACATCTAATGACAATGATGAACATACCCTATTTCGATAACGCTTTGCGAACGGTCGCAATCTGCAGTCCACACTCCTAATTTATCACCTTTTGGTCTCACATTTACGACAGCACCACAGACATCATCCGAATATTCATTAAATGCTTCACCAATCATGCAGAGAAGGATTTCTAACCAAAAGTGGTCTAAATCAGTAACTCTCTGCTTTTTCTCCAAATTGATTAGCCATCGCCCTCCATTCTTATTTGCGTCATCTTCCCACATGGGCCGTATGCCTTGTTTGAACATACTGTAGTCACATCCTTGTCTCAACTCTGACGCTGCCTTTATATGGTTGTATAAACTGTTGTTAAAAATCATAAAAAGTATGTCAATACAAAATAGCTACTGTAAATACTATGAAACATATATATATATATATATAATATAGAAAAATAATGATGTACATGAATATCTAATAACAAAGATATTTTTTCTATACCTCCAAAAATCTTCAGCTGTATCGAAGCTGGTAATCTCTCTCTGGTTTTGTTCCCAATTCTTGGTACGATCATTTTCATAATACCAGAGAGTCCATGTGTTTTGCAGAGGATGCTTGATTAAAAGCTCAGGTGGAAATTCCTCTAAATTGGCAATTTCTTCCTCTTTCTTCTCTATCTCCTTCAATAGATAAATAAAGTTGTACATAATTAACTAGTTAAACAGAAACTTATATATTCCTTATACCGTAATCATATTGTAATTATATTTCAGATATTTAATTAACCTTTATTGCAAAAACTTAACAATGTTAGACAAATGGTTTTCAGTTTCAGAGAATAAGTATTTGAAAGAGTTAAATTTGTCATTAAAGATACACATTTTATCAATGATATAATTAGCAGAACATATGTCCAGATGGCTAAGGCCAAGATCAATAAACCTTGAGTACTTCATGCAGAGAAAAGTTTAGAACTCTAAGTCTTAACTAATGCAAAGGAAGCGAAATACGATTCAGAAAAGAAAATGATAAACATGACTGATTTAATTTTATAATCGTTTTACGAATGATGAGTATGAGCTGTATTAGTAACAATAACTCAATTAAATCAAGATATCAAGAATATCATTGAAAATTTAGGACATAAGAAAATCAGGACTAATAGAGAAAATTCGTGAATCTTCTCGATAAACATAAGGTTATGCCCTTTTCTAGTATGACGAGTTCGGTGTCTGAGCAGACGCACGGGCGCAGAGGAAAGTTCATCAAAGCGACCATGCTGCTGCATGCTGCTACCCGAAACCACTAAAAATTTTCGCAAACTTTTGACGATAAAGCGGTTTCCCAAAATCCGTACCGATGAACAATATTACCGTTTCATCCCGGATGCGAAATTGCTGAACATACCTCAATTTCTTCAGTGTTATTCGTAGCCATGTCACAGAGGAATGAAAGTTTCTTTCAACGAACCGCTAGCAACGGCATCTACTGACAAAACTTTAGCTCAACTAGGTCTTTTTTTCTTCCCGTAAAGATATTGCGGGCGCTGCGTGCCCGTTCACTGAAGCGACGACGCAATCAACGCACGGGAGGTTTCGTCGGTGCACGCTGAGAACTTTCCAAATATTCCAAGCTTGGAGGCTTCTCGAGAGTATAGAATCTGCTCATACGCCAGGAATTGGCGCGCCTTGTCCTGCCTCCTCCCTTGATGTCGGAGACCCTGGTTATGCTATATGAAATTTTCCTTGGGGTAGGAGGTACCGTTAAAGCTGCAGTGAAGACGCGGGTGAAGAGAATTGAGAAATATTTAGGACAAGAAAACTCGAAAAAACGTTCGCTAACCAGTCAGGGTTTCAATTGAATTCTGAGTCTTCTTTTAGTACTTTATCTTTTTCAACCAAGAGAGAATTAAGGAATTGAAGTATTCTGTCAAATGCAAGAAATTTTTAAAGATACCACATTATTTTTAATGATCACGACCACTTATAATGACTTTTGTTTTTCCCTTTACAGCTTGACGTTTTTTCTTGTTTCCATTTCAATTCGCGACTGTTTTCGCAAGTGATGACTTCGACTTTCGTCTTTGTTTCTTAGGAAGGGACAATACATAGAATAGTGCGCGAACGCCTATCACTCCTACATAAGTACATATTTCATCCTACCAATATATTCGAAACTTTTACACAGAAACGATTCGCATTTCTTGTTCTTTTACTACTTAGAATTCGCTAATCAAGGATTTAAGCATAGGCGTTCATCGGGAGACCAGTTATTCCCATTCCGGACAATTTTTTCTTTTAATACATATTCATATTATCTTTTTAGAAATTCTATGGACCTTTGCAAAAGACTAGAACATTATTGCGAATTAGTAAAAAGCCTCGTGGTCCTGCAGTAAGAATCAAATAGATCTACAGACTGCTACAGACCTGACAGATATCCGGATACGAAGAACGTCCTCTTACCGACTGGTGTTTGCTTCGAAAATTTTCCCTCTCGAGAAATGCTCTGCAATTTCGTCGGTGTCCTTCGTAAAATACGAACAGGGCAGAATAGGGGTTGGTGCCCCTGTTCAGCGTGGTGGCGAGACACCCCGTTATAGTCAACATCCCCACATACCGAAATATTTGTGTTTGATTTTAGATATTCTTCTTGGAAAGTTGCCTGCGGCAACAATATTCCCAGAATGAAACGATCGGTAAGTGTATTATTTAGGTTCTCATAGCAATTTCTTATAAAATATCATAGTGAGCATAAATTTTTCAACCGCATACATTCGCTATTCTAGGTTAGTTTAAGAGTATCAATAAATTTTATATATAAAATTTATTGCAATTATTTATTAATTTATATTTATATTGAAAGTAACGTGATTGTTTAATGGTGAGTACTGTAGGTTGATGGAATACGTTCTAATCGGTTCCACTGTATTATATTTGCTCTGTGTTATACTCATATCAAAGTTCATTTACATTTCTAATGTACTTTAGTGAGGGTATTATTTTTTTAGGCGACTGAAGAAAATGGGGAGACCAAACAACCCCTGGTAAAGCAGGAGGTACTTGCTTTCACATATGACAACTCTTATGCCACTTATTCCTCATCCTCAGCATCCCCTTCAACTGCCAATCAACCGCTTCCAGGACAGCCACCACTACCTCCAATGCCACCACCTCCAGGAGCAGTTCCTCCACCACCTCATGTCTTTGGACCTGTGCATTCACAAGTGACCCCTATTCAAACCTGGGCACATGCACCTCCATGGCAATGGATGACCCCTCAAACCTCTCCTTTACCACCTCAATCTCCTCGAGATATAGCTACCAGTACCTTTCAAAGAGAGATGCCTCTCAGAGGTAATTACATCAGAAGAGACAGGTTCAACCACAATAGAAACAACGTTTACATACAGAGAAATAATTTCCATCGTAAAAACAGAAGGCACCCAAGATTTGAACAAGCACAGGGTCAATTTGACCAAGCTACATACTTTGGACCTGCAGTAGCTGGAACAATTGGCTTGGACTGGCAACGAAATAATTTTGCTACAGCCTCTACTGACGCCCTCATAAATCACATGTCTGTTGCGATGTCTAATCACCAAATACCTTCAATACCACCAGGACTAGCCCATATTGGTAGACACGGGGAAGAATTGGGTGACCAAGAGGCCAAAGTCGTTTCGGTAAGTGAGCAGCTTCATCAAAATTTTGTATTGTATTTGGAATTATTTTTGTGCATCTCTTTCTAGGAAGAAATCGTAGTCAAAAAGAATAAGCAAAGAAAACCTATGTCACAAAGCTATCCTAGCAGGCCGTGGAATCGGGAGGATGCAGAGAGAGCTTTACAGATTGAGAACGAGTACAATAAGACTGTAAAGGCTCAGAGTCTAATCATTAAATTTCCCGATCCTGATCTCAACAAGGACATTGTCAGAGAATTCCATTCTGGCATACAAAATATACATTTTCAAAGTCCAAGCGGTCCTCGGTATTGCTTTATTCAAATGGCTGAGAATGTTAATATCGACGAGGCAATAAAAGAGTTGGAAAAAATTCCTTTTGGAGTGGGCCATTTAAAGGTAGAAAGGAAATCGTTGAGGGATGAAGATAATCCGATGCCCGAAGAAATTGATCCTTATACTCTTTATATTGGAAATTTACCGGAATCCGTTAATGTCAATGAGGTGAAAAGTAAATTTCCTTCGGCAGCTAGAGTGGATGTTGGATACGCTCAAAAAATGCGAAATACACGGTAGGTTCAATTATGTAAGTGAAGTAAGATATCATTTACTAATATAGGCTAATGATCAATCTGCGTTACATTTTAGTTATGCCTTCATAAGGTATAATAGCGTCGACGAGTCTATATCCGCTTACAAACAGGCACATGACCTCATGTGGGATACGAGAAGTATTATAGTAAGATTTCGAAGACAGCGCGGAAACACTTGTCTACCTGGAGAGTCAAAGCCAAATCTAAAACGAGTTAAGGACGAGCCAGGATCTGTGGTTCACGTAAAGAAAGAGCAACAAGCCAATTGTAAAGAAGAAAATAAAACAAAACCGGCCGAAAATGTAAAGAGTCACAGTCGGTTGCAGACCGAAACTAATAATGCACAGAATAACAAAGTCTCCATTCAGATTCAGCAACAGAGTGTTTCTCTGATGCCGACTTCGCAGTCGACATCATCATTGCCAACTTCTATTGCGCCTGCAAAAACAGCGCAAGAGCAACAACAGCAACCTTGGGTACGTGCCATTCGCTAAACGATAAGAGAATTTTTAATATTTCAATAAAGTCATGAATAAATTAATTATTTGCAGACGTCTCAGCTTCCCCAAATACCTTCGGCGTCGGAGGCACCGCCGCCTCCGCATCCTGCAGAAAGAAATACGGTCGAAGAAACTATTATGCTTACGGAAATTAAAGAGGAACCCGAGGATTACGAGGAGATGGAGATGGCTGCTGATGTTCAAACGGATGAAGAGGTTGATGATGACGATGATGAGGAAGAGGAAGATGACACGGATGACGATGACGACGATGATGATAACGAAGAGGAAGATGACGATGAAGATGATGACGAAGAAATGGATGAGAATGAGACTCTTATCGATGAAAATAAACGAGACATTAGCGTCAAGGAAAATGAACCGACGGATGTGAGTACTTTTACATTCTTCCTTTGCGCTATGAATGTCCTATTTTCCACAAGAATAATATTTATTTTAATAATTGCTTAATCATTTCAGCATCTCGACCAAATGTTTAATGACTTAGAAAACATGGCTGGAGACATCGGACTGTAAAACTATCGGAAGTAATAATACCTGGATAAGAAGAATGGTTTTATCTTGATATAATTTCCATAGAATTGTAAATATTTCATCGTTTTATGTATAATGTGCATTTAAAGGTAATACTGACTATATGGCTCGTGTCCGAGTATTTTTAATAAGTAGATGTATCCTAAAGGGAATCGAATATCAATCAATCCACCATGAATTATGTAAATCATATTGAGCATTAAAATTTTAATCTTTTTTATTATCCCAATTGCGTTTTCAGTTTCGTTGACCGAATATCTGTGTCGGTCGTTACATTCCTTTCGAATTATTCAATTTATTAGAATATTATGTTACATCTCAAAAGCTGTGGTCAAATATTGTATGTAATATGACTAAATAAAAGGATATTATTTTAAGAACGTATAAGTTTTTCATAATTCCCGCTGAAGCAACTTCAAAGCGTGTCCGATGCCCTCTATTTCCTGCAACAGTATACCTATACATATTACAATATTCGAGAGCGAGTTGGAAAAGCGCGGGCAAAACAGTCCACCATTTCGTTAAATCGAAATCCGGTACTTGTTGCGTGCACGACTCGTGTTCAACGTTCCGACGCTCATTCACTCTGCACGGTTTGCAGTATTTTATCGGTTTTTAAATAGACGTAAAGAAACGAAATTACGATGTTCGAAGCACGTTTAGTTCAGAGTGTAATCCTAAAGAAGGTCTTAGAGGCAATTAAGGACCTACTAACCGAGGCTACCTTCGAATGCTCCGATTGTGGCATCCAACTACAAGCCATGGACAACGCTCACGTTTCTTTGGTTTCTCTCAATCTGAGAAGCGACGGATTCGATAAGTACAGATGTGATAGGAACCTGTCAATGGGTATGAGCGTACCTTGGTAAGCGATCCACATATCACGATACTCTAACGCGTTGCAGCTTAGAGATGTCAGTGGCAATGACACTGAACAGAGGCTGCGAATCAAGCGTTCTAATGAAACTGGGACAATTTCTTTTTCTTTGTAGCATGTCAAAGATTCTACGATGCGCCAGCTCGGAGGACACGGTGACTTTAAGAGCGTGGGACAATCCAGATACTATTGTCTTCGTATTCGAATCTCCAAATCGTGATAAGATTTCGGAATATGAGATGAAATTGATTAATTTAGATCAGGAGCATCTTGGAATTCCTGTATGTTTTTTTAATAAGTTTTTAAAAAAAAAATTTCCGCATCTGTTTTTATGTGTCAAGGATGAGGAAATGAATGAATTGTTATTTCATGAAATGTCTTTTAGGAAACTTTGTACTCTTGTGTAGTCAAAATGCCATCTCAAGAGTTTGCTAGGATATGCAGAGATCTAAGTCAATTTGGTGATGCCATGACTATAGCTTGTTCCAAAGAGGGTATTAAATTCAGTGCGGCTGGAGATTACGGAACAGGTAAAAGGAATTTTCAGTGCAAACAATACCATCTGATTTTTAAAAAAACAATTGCAAGCGGTACTCACCCCAACCAACTTGTAGAAACTGTTGTATGATCTGATGTTTAACATTGTGAAATCAAACAATCTTTGAACCACAAAAGTTCCATACAGACTAAGTGGTTTGAGTAATAATTGCCAGAAACTTCAAGTAGATCCTTTGTTTTTTTTTTTTACTTCAAATATAGATAAAAAATGTTTTGATTTCGTGACATTATTGTCATGAGAATAACTGTTTACACTTTTCAAACAATTTCCTTGGATATTGAATGTCTCAAGTAAACTAGTTATCTCATACTCATTGTTATTTCCCTCTTGTATTTGCAGAAACTATACGGAGCTTTGATTTCTCAAGTATATGAATAAAAATAATTGACCTTACTTCCAGTTGAGTTAATGGAGGTTTGGACTACATTTAACTAAATAATGATGTCTTCTTTTGATATCAACAGCAAACGTGAAGTTGGCACAAACAGCCGAGACAGAGAATCAAGAGGAAGCTGTGGTCGTTGAAATGAAGGAGCCAGTTAAATTGACATTTTCATGCCGCTACCTAAATTCTTTTGTGAAAGCGACTCCGCTTTGTGCTCAAGTCCAATTATCAATGTCAGCCGAAGTTCCATTGGTATGCGAATATCAGATTGGAGAAATTGGCCATATCAGATACTACTTGGCACCCAAGATTGACGACGAAGAAGAAAATTAATGGAGCTCCATTAATTTGGAGAATCATTCGTTTGTAAAAGACTTTTACTTTAATTATTTGATAATTACATTTTTCACGATAGTTCATGAATTTCAATGTTGTGCCTATTCTTTCAAAGTGTTGTAGTTTCTTGAAAAGTGAGCCACTCCTTTATCAGTTAATATGGACAGTATTGGCGAGAAAGAGTTCTTATCTTCAAAAATACGAAATAAGTAATTGGGATAAAAATTGAGGAGGAGGTGGCCGATTAGGTGTAGCACGAGGAGAAAAGCTCATAGAAATTACGTGTACTTTGAAGGTAATATATTATTCAAAATGTACAGTTAAAAGTTATTTGGCTCGTCACAGTGTTAGCGCAACGTAGAATTGACACTAAAGTTCGTAGAAGGGTGACACGTTCATGATTAGTAAGATAAAATGATGTTGTATCGTAAGTTTTATATCCTCCCTTGTTTTACTGTGACCGTATTTTGATAGCATCGCATTTGTAACACGTAAGAAGAATCCAATACATTTCCAAAATTTTTTGATAAATTTCGAATATATATCTTATTTTTGCATCCTAGCCTAATCGAAGTTCAAAATTTATTTTATAGACGTATCTTACCTCTTATGCCTATATGTATAAACTACTTTAATATAAAAATACATAATTAGCTTATAAACTGCGGGAATAAGAGGGCTACCATGGATGGAATAGCCTAGAAGTATACAGTTAATTCTTACTTAATTTGGATCTCAAATGATGACTAAGAGTCAAGATTTCAATAGCTGACTAAAATTAAATGAGAAACAAATTGGAGCATGTACTGTACTAAGCCTCCGGTTTATTCCTGATTTAACATTCATTGTGTACTGAATTCTTGCGCCTAAGTAAATAAGTAATTGATCGTAAACGGCAATTTAAACTAGGAAATATTTTACACGCAAGTACACCTGCGAAGACCTCTAAAGATTATTAAGTCATTCATTGTTCTTCATGCATACTCGAGTTACTTTTCTATAACTTGAAGTTTAAATGGATTTTTTAAATCTTTTTTGGAATAGTATAGTACGATTCGAAAAACAACTCGATGTAGCAACGAAATCAAATTCTTTGGCAATATTACTCAGCCTCTTTGGTTTTCAAAAACCCTGGTATTGCTTCTTCGTTGTCAACAGAAAAATATGAAGCGTATCAATCGATTTACTGAATCTTGAAATCACCTGAAGAATTTCACTTTCCGTTTTTCGCAAATTATAGAGGAAGCGTTCACATGTGTTTGGTTTACTAAAAAAAAAAATGTCGATGTCACCCGAAACTAATTTGTGAACCTAGAATATTTTCCCGTGATCGATAGCAGCATCCACGCGGCGACAGGTACTGAGCGATCAAAGAAATAATTATTCAAGAGTTTGTCGACATAGCAATACTTTGTATTTTTCTTATCAAAGCGCACACTCATACGAAAGCCGATCCGTACTGTCCTTTTTTCTCTTTTTTTAAATTTTTATCATCAAAAATGAATTTTCAGCACGACCGTCATTTCAGACTCTCTAGCTTCCTACGATACTCTTGTACGAATAAAAAAGATAACGTTAGGTGAGAATGGTCGTCGCTGTGTGTGATCACTGTCTTAAGATTGAGCTCAAGTTTTCATACCGGAAAGGATAAAAGATAAAAGATTCTAGGAAACGTTAGAGAGACGTTAAATACATAAGAGGCTCTTTTTAAGCATTCTTGTTGCCGTTGCTTCCGTAGAGGCTGGGATGTACGAATTTGTCGTGGAGGGTTCGCAAATGCCTCAACAGATTGCTTTTTACGTTAAAGCCTTTTTTACAATAGGAACATAAGAAGGGCTTCTCGCCCGTGTGTGTCCTCTGATGTATTACCATGGACGCGTGACTCGGGAATACTTTTTGGCAGATGTTGCAGAGTTTCTGGTGGCTGTGAACTCTTTTCGGCTTCGGAGGTGCCGAATTGTTCATTAGAGCCAATTGCTCTTCCGTGTGCTCCGTCTGAATGTGCCGCACCCATTCTTGAGGCGTTGGATACATATTACCGCATAGGTCACATTTTAATGGTGGGAAATCTTTACTGTCGTCATCAACGTCGCCCTAGAAATAAAAGAGCAATAATTCAAGATCGTCTGGCAAGTTCTTAGTGGCGTGAACGTAAAGTAGATCCATACCTTCCGTTTTCTTCGACGATTTTCTGTCATGTCTGCATGTGTGAATTCTATATGTCGAACCCAATCCGATGGCCGATTGAACGTTTGACTGCACATGTCGCATGTCAACGGTGTATATTCCTCTTCCTCCATGTCTCCATCCTCGTCGGCGCTGTGCACTATTTCCTGAAAATAAGAAAAAAAAATTAGTTGCAAAATGCCTGAAAAAAATAACCTCACAATCAGTTTACAGTTCTAATTTGAATTTGAACATACTGGTTTGATGTCGATCTCATGATCAATCGTTAGGGATTCCGATGGGTCGATTGTTTCCTCCCAATCGATCGGCTCGTCCTTCACCAGGAGTTCCAGATTAAGCTCCGTCTATTGAGACATAATCGTTTAAATGAACAATCGTTCTTGAAAGTGGCCTTTCAAGTAATTTGCTAAGTAGACAGGAAAGGATTTTACATTTTCTCCACCTTCGCTTCTGGATTTCGTCGATTCTACGTCGCTGCTCACGCTTTTTCTTTTCCTTCCGCTACCCTCCAGGTTCTCCTTGTTTTTGTTCTCTTCGTTATTCTTATTTTCCTCGAGAACCTTCTTGCCCTCTGCTTCCTTGACCTTCTCCTCGGCTTTCTCAATGCTTTTTCGCTCGGCGCCTCTTTGTCCCTGCGAGGTATTCTGAGTTGTTGGGGGTTGCTGCACAGTTTCTGCAACTTTCTCCGGGGTTGGCTGAACAAGTTTGATCTTTTGCATTTGTCCAGGTAGTACAGGCTGTTCCTTCTTGTCTCGTTCGACCTTTTGATTGTTCGACTGGATATTTTCCTTCTTGCTGCCGCTATTGGATCTCCAGAGTCCACGGACTCTGAGAATGTCGCCTGCTTTTAGTACTCCCTCAAGTTGATCATTGGTGACAGTGGCTTCTCCACTGTACATATACTGGATTAAAATTTTAAGGGTGCGGTATCCAATTTCAGTTGGTAGAACCTGCAGAGAATTTTCCCCCAGCGTTTACTTATTGTTAGAAGGACGACTTATCTTGGAGCAAAATCGCTACGATACTTACCACGATTATTGGAGCATTGGTATTAGCTCCAAAATGACAGGTTTGAAAGATGTGACTGAGGTACGAAGAACAGGCAGCGAGGACGAACCTGTGAGCAGCTACATGACGTCCACAAGAAGTCGCAAGAAGGACGTCGGCGAATGATTCTGAATGAAGTAGAGTGGCGACAGAGCTGTGGAGATGAGCTCCATAACTGTGCCACTTGAGTTGGTAGTTTTCGGAAGCAGCGATAGCCATTTTCTCTGTGACGAAAAGACAGTTTCAGCATGTCATATAAAAATACTTAGTCGCAGGCAAAAATATTCAGGGAACATTTCTTGTTTGTCTCATTAAAGCTATTAATGGTTGAGATGGAGATGCTTCTAATTGCGAGGACGTATCACTACACCTATGCGAGCACAACACGTATTGCACAAATCATTCTATCATCGTCGTGCACTGGTCAACCCACTGTCAGGAAGGAAAGAGCCCCGACGAAACGTTTTTCACGGTCACACGCTGCACGGAAAAAGACGAGGCCGAGAACACTCGCATTCAATCAGACGAACAGACAGCACATAACGCTAGCAGCGTTTATTTATTAATTCGATTTGAGATGGAAGCTAGGAAGAGCAAAGACTCACGGATTGCGCCCGAAAGAATTAGGCGTCGATGACACGACGTCGTTGCGGGTACGAAAGGTTCGACTCGACGGACTCGACTGACTAGGTAGAAAATAAGAGGGTGCTCTATAGGGATGCGAGGGTAGGTAGGCAGCAAAGTTCGGCTCGATGGGCTCGGCAGACACCTGGCTAGTTCTAGGGGTAGGATTGTCTCAGGTACGGGATCTCCACGACGGTTACGCTCACGTTAAAGGATCGGAGTCCTTACTGCGAATTATTACCTGAGGACATCGGTTGGTGGCTGAGGGTGTAATCGTAACACAAGGCTTCGCAATGTTTCCCGGGTTTCTCAGGCTTTTTCACGCTTTCCACGCGTCGGTGTTTTGAAAGGCGCTTCGCGAACGGGGCACGGGGCAGATATGAGCATCGAACCGCCGCGTAGGGGCCTAAAAATCGATATTTCGGTCTTTGCTCCATCCTCTGCGGTGTGGCCGTGCGGCCGTGTTCGTTCGGCTAGGTAGGGTGCCCCCTGTTCATCATCGATTTTCCCGGCTACCAATCGCACGCATCCATTTATCGCATCGATCGCCCGAGCTGATTTCAGCGTTTGCGTCCGTCCGTCCATCCGCCTGCTCTCTCATTCTCCCTCACTCTCTCTTACTCTCATTTGCTCTCGCTCAACGATTCACTCTCCCGCCCCGCTCCGTTCCCAACTCGACTCTCTTTCTTCACCCGCCGGCTCACATCCCCTTCACCCTCTGCCCCTCCCTAGCAAGTCGTCAACCATGACGCTCTTCTAGCCCAGCGATCCTCGCAAACCTCCAACACCCTGCAACCTTCCCAACTTCCCCGCTACTCATTCTCAGCTTCACTCCTCTCCGCGCATCCCTCCGTCTCTCTCTCTCTCTCTCTCTCCTTGGTATTCACTCTCACCCTACCGTAGTAGCTTCTTCGATATCCATATCCAGCGAAACGAAGCCACCCTATTACAGCCTCCGTACTCCTTCCATTTATTTAATTCTCACCCTCATCTCCCGTCCCTTACACCTCTTGGATTATGCTTCTGTCCTTATTCGTTTCTGACCGTTTCCTCTATCGTCTATTGTCGCTATAAATCCACTAGTAACCACTGATCGATACGCCTTACTGTTTTATCTAATCCATAAACATGGCTTTGCATTTTCTTCCATCATATTTAACGAGGTTCTTTATGTGCAGGTTTTTCCTAGAATACCATCTATTAGTGGTCTGTTTTTTTTGAGGATTTTAAATACACAGAGCAAAGCTCGTGGCATCTTTCTGGGGGATCTAACGAAGGCTCAACAGGTACGAGAAATGTAACTTCAGGTTCTTAGCGAAAGATAATACAAAATAGTTCCTGGCTGCACTTTCTGTCAATAATTTGAATAACATTATTTCGCAGCTTGCCAGGGTGCCGTTCGAAGCGTAGCTCTTCGATTTTTAAGATTCGCAACTGCACTACTGCATTGCGTCGACGACCTATTTTACAACGGGGACGATAAGTCGCACGCCCTCCTGCCATTAAATAATCAATTTCTCTGTCCGTTACGTTAGGAATCTCTGTTCACTCTCGCTATCTGTCATTCCATACAATATACATGCCAAAAGTACAAAGGAAAAAATTCAGGAGAAAAGTCTAAAATCGTTTTCTCTGCGTAATTAGATTAAAATTAAAATTTACCCAAATAATTTGTATGTGCAAAAATAATTTTTGACAAAAAGATTTGTAAACCATTTCAACTTCATTAGTCTACCGTTACGAATCCATGGGCGTATAAATGACTCTAATATGTATATAGGCATGAAGGCTGAGAAATAAAAAGTTCCGAAAGTGACGATGCAGATTCCATTAATATTTGGGAAAGTGAAGGAAACTAAGATTAAGCCTAATGGTTCTACGATGAAGGGTACCTTGTAAATGATCATCCGAATAAGTTCGGTGTGCTGCGGTGGTCACGTGGAGCTCTGGATCACGTGGCAAGTGGTGGCAACTAGAGACTTCTAGTGCGAGGTCGCCACCGCCTCCTAGTGGCGATCAGCAAGCAGGGTTCGGTTCCCCATAAATACGCGATATTGTTGTCATTGCGGGACGGATAATGCGTGGAGAGCAGTGGAGGACGTCGGTACTTTTGAGGATGTATCTAGACTGATGTGCGTTCCGATAGTATGTCGAAGTCGCGCAAACACGAACGGTGCTGGACAACGTCCCTGAAACTGACCTAGATGCCAATGGATTTTCGTTTGTGTCTCTTTAATTATGATTCTGAAGTGAGTGCACTTGGAGTCGGTGACGGCTAAAAAGGTGACGATGGTATACGGAAATGAGTTCACGGCTTTTTATAGAATACACCCATCGGCGGGCCAGTGATGTCCGTATTGCATCCGGAGATGTCACGGCTCACCACGAGATCTCGTTCCGTTTGCGCGCAGTTGGCCGGAATTAGGTTAAGTTGACCTGGGGCCAGTCTTCTTATCATAGTGCAATTAAGTGCCGCCCGAATTATCAACGATCTCGTATATCCAACGACTAAACATAAGTTGCCACATAATTCCTGTTTCCGTTCGCTGTGCACCTCTGCCTTCTTCAGGTGGATAATTTTGTAATTTTGTTTACAATGTGATTATAGCGATTATCCCCTTCAAAACGATTCCTGAGTCAAGTAGCCAGAATTCGTATTTGTTGGACACTCTGTATACCACCAAATCCACAGATCCGAATTTCTGTTACTTACAGTTGCACTGGGAAACTAGGATGGACCAGGGATGACTTCATGTATAATCACCCTATGATATCCAAAGACTATTGGCCTCTTCGATCGGAATTGACAACTGGACTACCATTATTATTTCATTCTTTAGATCTCGACTTCATAGAGTCTTGATCTGGTGAGAGCTTTCATTCTGATGGTAGTTCTATTAGTTTAGCAGCATCACCAATCAACATGCCACACGTCACTAGGAAGTGGGAACTGTTTCCTGGAAGAAATAGATTCTGCTGTGATGGCAGAGTTATGATGGCACCTCAAACTGGTGTTTTCTATGTCACAGTTTGCTTGATTGCAGGGACAAGTGGATTATTTTTTGCATTCGAGTAAGCTACCATCATTATTAAAATATAACTACTGCTTAATGCTCATTCTGTATTATCGAGACATTTGTATTTGCACTGAATTTCATTCAGCTGAGTTTCCTCAGACAAATTATTGAGCTTACCTGCAATAAGTATACTAATTTAGATACCGTAGACTCTTCAGTTTTGGCATATGATCCATTTCTCTATATGATATTGACTTAAGATGCAAGTCTATAATCTAATTAGAAGATGTGAAATTGTTTTCAGCTGTCCATTTTTAGCAGTGCACATAACACCTGCAATACCAGTGATAGGTGGTTTGCTTTTCATATTTGTGATGGCTGCTCTATTTCGGACCAGCTTTAGTGATCCTGGAGTTATTCCTAGAGCAACCCCTGATGAAGCTGCCTACATCGAAAAGCAAATTGGTGAGTATTTGTTCTCACAGAATTATGTACAATCCCCTACTTGTCCTTGAATAGAGAAAATGCTTCAAATGTTCAATGTGGTTTTTCAAAAGAGATATTACAAAGAGTATATCGCAGCGCTATGATCTACAATCGTGCAGATAGCCCTTTTTTCTTCTTGGTAGGTGTGCACCCGATTACGTTATCACATCAGTATCATTTTAATGGTATTCGATCATTCGATGCCAGTGACGTGAATTTGTTAATAAGTAAAACGTTATCACCATTTTATCAAGAACGAGTATCTCTGATTAGAGATATTTGACTGAGTTAGCAAGCATTTTTTATGTCGTTTAATTGCGAAGAATTCAACTATTCCACGTAGGTGTCTCTTCTTACCAAGGCATGTATAATGTTCTGTTGCAGAAGTGCCAAATAATGGCAACTCGCCCACGTACAGACCTCCCCCTCGTACCAAAGAGGTCTTGGTCAGAGGTCAACCAGTCAAATTGAAGTACTGCTTCACATGTAAAATTTTTAGGCCCCCTCGAGCTTCTCACTGTAGTCTATGTGATAATTGTGTCGGTACGTAGTTATTGGAACGTGGAGAGACGTCACATGTGATGGACATATTCACCATAATCGTCTAACGGATGAATAATCTGGATAAAATTTCAGAGCGATTTGACCACCATTGCCCTTGGGTCGGTAATTGCGTGGGACGAAGAAATTACAGATACTTTTATGCATTTATCGTCTCTTTAGCATTTCTGTGCGTGTTTATATTTGCCTGCGCCATCACACACCTCATAATGCGTAAGTAGTGTCAGCACTCTGAAAAATTGAAGACTTCTGCCTTCTTTTATTCTCTTTTACCCTAGTCTTGTTTTCAGTTACGAGAGATGACAGACCGTTCCTAGAAGCCGTCAGATTATCCCCCGGTAGCGTAGTCGTCGGGATTGTATGCTTCTTTTCTGTTTGGAGCATTTTGGGTCTTGCGGGTTTTCATACATATCTCACGACGAGCAATCAAACTACAAACGAAGACGTAAGCTCAGATATCCCTGTCACATAATTTTTTTGTCTTTTTTCGAATATTGCTTCTATTGAATTTAACTTCACCTTCCTAGATAAAAGGTTCATTTACAAGCAAACGAGGCCAGGAGAGCTTTAATCCATACAGTCATGGAAACGTTTGCGGAAACTGCTTTTATGTATTGTGTGGTCCTGCACCGCCGAGCCTTATTGGTAATCATCCATTAACCGTTCTAGCATTTATACCGTCTACGCTGAATCTTCATTTTGATTTGTCTCTCACAGATCGAAGAGGCATAGTGACGCCTGAATACAGAGCAGAGCAGGAAAGAATTGGCGACGATAATGTCATCGCAAACAACAAAACATACGGCACTGTTAAGATTGTGCAGCCACAGGTAAAATTTACCACCACGCTTTGAATGACTTCGAAATACGCCACTGGTAGTTTTTGATGATCGATCATTCGTTTAATATTTCATTTCAGTCTAACGGTATGGGGATTCCAACGAATCCAGGTGGCGACATAACGGGGTCAATGAATAACCTCGTGCCAGGTCAACACTCTCCGCGATTGGAATCGATGAACGGTGAGTTGACGCTTTTACGACATCCCTCGCGTTGCCCAGAGGATCTACCAAAATATCCGCGACAGTACATTAACGATACTTATGTACCTAAGTATCCCGCGAGACGATGCTCTCAAGAGAGCGTTAAGCACATTAAGTATGAGACGGGTCGTTTCAATCCGGATGTTCATAAGTATCCATATATGTGTGAGGAGTCCTTGCACAAGTATCCACAGAGGTGCAGAGAAGAATATCATAGGTGCTCCGACAACAACCTGATATACGATCAATACGTCGAAGACCAAAAGTATGCTATAGATCTTCAGAAGTATCCTCAGAGATATTCCGAAGATCCACTCAGGTACAAGAGTGACGATCCGAAAGTCTATACGGATCTTCAGAAATTTCCACAACGCTATTCCGAGGATCCATTGCGAATTTCTCACTCTCCACATACTCTCAAGTACAATAATTTGCGGTGCACCGATCATGGTTTCAAATATCCCATAACTAAGAGCATTTTGCCGGGAAAAATTTTGGGTGCTGGCGGTATTCCCATTATTGGGCATACCGCCATAGGTCTTGTGGTAAATAGGTTTGGATCTGAACCACTGGCCAATGATCTTTCCTACGCTGAGAATTCTTTCTGTTCAAATGAGAGTGCGGAGGAGGATCTTCTGAACAGGCGCTTTATTATGAGTTCGATGAGCGACAATGACGACATTTAGCGTTCGATGTAAGTTCTGCCTAGTCGCGTTTACATTGAAATTTCAAATTTTTTTAAGGGACGATGGAAGAACCAAAATCGGATAATCGATAGACGTCTCCGACGACTTATACTTCTTTGACTTTCTCATTTCCAGCACATGGCATTTCATTTATACACTCAGACCTTGGTTAACGTTACGTCGTTCAATGCTGTTCCGTTATAGTTAATATATGCTTTTGCAAATGCTCGGTGAAACAGTAATTTCCCAATTGCCCAAACCCCCTGCCGGACCGTACCACATGTACCTCAGCTTTAAATTAAGGACGCACCCTGAACGTTAATCAAGGTCTTACCGTAGTTTCCTCCACAGATTGTAATCCTATTACTGGAATTGTATTTTTATGATACTTCGTCTTATCTTATCAGTCTAGTAAAATGAATAATTCGACCGGTCGTATGTACAAACAAGATAGCTAGATTAGATTTTTTCCAAGTTTGGACTCGGTCTAAGATTGTACGGAACTTTTAGACTGTAGATCATAGTTTATAAATTGATAATTTTAGGAAACGAATCATTTGATTTCTTTGTCGTTGACTTGGAAATGAACGATGAAACTATTTATTTTGTGAAATTGAAAAAATAAGATATTCTTATTGAATCGAATCGAAGTATAGAATAATATGGTAATCGTAGAACTGAATCAAGGATCAGATTAAAAATATTCTTGTGCATAGCGTCAGAAATGTAAAACGTAAAACATTTTTCAAGATATGACAAGAGTAACGAAGTTAGTGCTTTCCTTATGGGTTCAATAATTTTTTTTAAAGATTTTCATATTTTTTCTATACTGCTCGTGGATTTAAAGGACGTTTTTAATTTATATAGAGTAAATATAAGTTGTTTAGCATTTAAAAGATTATTTACATGATGTCTCAATAAATCATGTTTCTTTGTTCTTTCTAATTACGTCCAATAATCGAGGGCTCAGTGCATACCGTTCGGTAAGTTTATCTTTTTACACTTGAAGCATCCGAAACTCTTTATGTTCCTAATACGTGGATCAGTTTTGTTTTGAGCATTAACCATTGGATACCCATGTACAATTCTCGATATTGCCTTTAAAACACAATTAATGTCTTCACGGTATCCGATTTCGAAAGCACTGAAAAACATTGAAGGCTTTTGGTTTTGTGACTAATTCATTGAGTTTTTGGTTTTAAGTGTGAATTTCGTAGTTGGCGGTTGTTAATGCAACCTGTACATATATGTATAGCATCAGCCAAACCCATATCAGGCATCGATTCTAGTCGGTTACGTGTGAATAATGCTGAAAGATTGGCTAGAAGAGCCATTATAATAAGACGAGTCCATTTCAATTAAAAGGTCTCTCGAATAGAAACCTGACGATGGGCATTTCCTCATGAAATAATTATTTTCGTGATTTTTCGAATCGTTTGTCTGATATAGGAAATTTATAGAATCGTCTTCCTCCCAAAGACGTGGAATCTCGCACCTCTTCTAATTGATAATTTCTTTCTAGGTAGCACTACAAATAGCGTGAGTCAGCTGGTGGCCAATGAGGTACCTTTGGCCTCTCTTAATATAACGCCGATAGATATCGATGAAATCGCGCCGCTGCCACCACGGCAAACCGTTGGCGCCTCTTCAGGATTGGATACGACTTCCATACCGCCAGTCATAGTCACGACTCCGCTCTCAGCATCGAGGCTCAGGTTGCTTCAGGACACGACGATGATAGAGTCCGCCCTGGACTTGGATTCGCTGGAGGATGCAAGTGTAGGTCGAGGAAGTCAAGCGGGTTTGATAAAGATGGCCGCAGTTTGAGTCTCTCTAAATTTGAATATTAGCACAATTTAAAGCTTAAAGTCGATTTTAATTTCCCCGTTTTTCGTGCATCCGATGCTGCGGCCATCGTTTTATGCGCCGTCATTTAATTATAGTTAATTTAGTGTGGTAATTTGATTTGAAGAGTAGCCAGACGTTTACCTTACATCACGAACATAATTTTCACGTCACCGTAATATCATAGTCAAAATAGACTGAAGAGAAGAACTAGAGAACGACTGTCGACCGATCGGGATTCTCTCCGCTGATCGGAGAATCTGTAAGACCGTACAAATGAATATCCGTCCTATCGATGGCCTATTGCGGGAAAAGGGCTCATCTACGCACGGACGTACAATCCATTCGACGCCATATAACTTCAGTGTAATCTCTTGATTTTTCCTTACGCTTACTTTACAAAGGATTAGTCTTCTTGGCCATTCGCCTTTACTACAGTTGTTACTTATTGTTATCTTATCGAAGTTGGGAAATCCAACATATATCTATATGTATAGCACAGCTGGAAAACGTTCCCTTGAAAACGCGTCTGGCGTTTAGGATGCAACTTCACATGCACTTAAGCTGTGACAATTGTGTAGCATTCCACTTGAGGTGAGCGCAAAGGCCGACCATCGACCGAACGGATATCAGCCGAAGGCGTAGTAAATGAATAGGATGCTGGAAGAAAAGACACTGGTTACTTTCTGGAATAATCTGTGTGCTCAGTAATGAGGAGAAATGCTTCCTCTCTATAGCCGAGTATTGCCTTTCTTTGCCTCAAGTCGTTGTGTACAGTGTAAAAGAATATTGTAAATAGAATTATACAATTTACGTAAAACTGCTGAATCATTTCGCGAACATCCAGAAATAGAACGTGTGATGACACAATGTCAATGAATTATGTACAGAACATTTTAAAGATACAATTACCACTGCCTATTCTATGAATAATTTTTGTATCGAGTTTGCATGTTGCTTGTTAATTCGGCGTAACGCTCGCGTAGATATTATTTGTACGTTTAAATATTGAGTAATGGAGAGTATATTATATTGATATAATTATTAATTATTGCAGTAGGATTATCATTATTTTTATTACAGGGGTGATGTGCGAGTTTTTCTGTATATAAAATTGTGTATATGACTATATGTATATATCGTATATATTATATATTATGTAAGATAGTCATAATATAATGGAAGTTAAAAGAAAAAAATTATGCTTACCATTATATTGGAATTTGAGTTTTTATCCCTGATCGTTGAGAACGAAATTGAAAAATGTTTCAGGTTCCAGTTGGCCCAAGATGCGCATGATAAAACATCTTTATTTATCGTACATGTATACACATCTCCATCATTCATTATAAAAATACTTTCATGACGCAAAAATCGCCATGTTCATTAGGTTTACAAGGCGATTATGAGAACAACCCGTAAGCTACATTCCAGTGATATGATGCTACATTAAATAATTGTATTTCGATTTATACATGGACATATACAGCGTGAGATTTGTGTGGCCTGCTTACTGAATCCCTGCGAGCTCACAGATACCCAAAAATCCTTTTCTTTCATGTAGACTAACGTATGTAGCATTTATATTTAACCATTAATAACTTCAAATATGTCAAGAATTATCTTGCATCACATACAACTCTAGAAAAATGTTAGAATCCCATAGTTTATTTGTATCACCAACAAAGTACAAATATGTTATGATTCCCATGTGATTTTTTCTTTTTAAAGTCTCGTTCAGTATAACTGATGCAAGAGAACAGCAGCCACAAGAGCAAGAAAAGCCAGACTGAGAGCAATAACATAAAGGTCCAACTGATTATTCTCTGTTGGATCTTTAGCGCGATCCATAGGCGCCGTCTCTCCCTCGTTGTCCTCGTAAAATTCCGAGGGATCTACGCGAGCAATAATATCGTTTAATATTTCGTTCGTTTGCTCCATGACTTTTGGTACTCACCAGCTTGAAGCTCCAATTCTTTTTGAACACTGCTCTCTTGCACTTCCAAATCTAAAAGCTCCTGTAGGGACACGAGAGCCTCCTGCGGACCTTCGCCAGGAAATAGATAATCTGATAATGTCACCTTACTCTGGGGCAACGCTACAAGTACCCTTCGCGGGGGTTCGTGAAGTGTGACATTTTCTAGAGGAAAGTGCAGATTTAAGAAATGTATGTGAATCATACGACCGATGTCCCATTAGATTAAAAAGTTTTTACCTTCGGGTGATCCGTTCTCTTCTTCGATTAGACTGTCCCAATGCATTTCCAGTCTGCTCGCGAGGGATCTCATGATGTCTTGTTTTAATGCAGTTGTTGCTTCCTCTATGCTTGCCTTTTGATGTACAAACGTTCTACTAACTAATTGACCCACTAATCGCATGGAGGCACTGCAGGATACCAAGCTCACGTTCGAACTTGGAATTTTTGGCTACAGTGAGCAACTGAATTAGTAAATTTGATCGTATCTTATTATTACACATGTTTGATTGTACTCACACAAGGAACATATAGACTGGCGTGAAGAGTTTTATCAATGGAATTGGAATCGTTACTTTTCATTTCCCGTCGATCTTTTTTTCTTCTTCCGATTGCTTCCACAGCATCATCAGGTGATCTGTGTTCTCCTTCTATTACTATTAGGGCTGAGTTCACTGTTTCTGATATGCTTTTCAAAATGTCCTGCAAAGCAACATAGCATTGACGATCTTTGATCATGCGTACTTTAAATAAAGGATGTCTGTACTGTTATACCTGTAGCTGTTTTTTTAGTGTATCTGGATTTTTATCTAATGGAATTACAAATAAACGATCAAAGCCTATACAAGTTTCAAGTTGATGCCACTTAGTGGCCTTTGCTTGAAATTTCCATTCTGCAGGTTTTAACATCCCAGCAGTATCGATATCCAAGGACTTACATATGAATCTGTGGATCAGTTTCATTAAACATAGTTCTGTAATAGGTAGAATTATAAATTACTTTTGAGTGATGCTGTTGAAATTCAAAATGAGATTCTCTTTGTCATTGTTGCCATAGAGATATTTATTTGATCCTAGGTTCTTGCGTATCGTTGTGACAACTGATTTGAGCCTTAGAACTGAATTGTTGTCATTGAAACTGTCACCTGGTCCAATTACAAATATACCAAGCACCCACATACCGCCAGGTAGCATTCTTGTGACCTATGGACAATGGTGGTTCATCCATAATTTCATACAAGTGTCTTATATGAGTACACTTATAAAATAAAATTTACATGTTTCGCATGATCTGCAACCCACGTATCAGGAATATCATTGATGGTTTTTATATACTTGGGAGTAGTATCAGAATGGATACTTGTTGTAGAACTTATTAAAGTCTCCTCTATAACATCTTTAGCTGCAGGAGGAGGCGTTCTAGCCAAATGAACCACATAGTCTTTTTGTGCTGTACTCTAAAACAAGGAGGTATTAATTGTATTTGTAAATAAGGATACAGCAAAATATTCTCATATAAATTAGTCATTATCCACCTAACCAAGAGGAACATAATCATAAAGCATAAATGATTGTAATCTCGAAATTTTTTATTTCCTCAAACGCCAAATTGAGTGTCTGACAGGAAAATAAATAAGTGGATTTCACTTGCGGAGCAATGTACGTAAATTCACACATTCTGCGAGCAGCTGTCAAGTATCCAATGCCAAACTCGCATGAGATTTGACATAAAAAATTGAACATACAAAAGCCGAACCTGTCCCAAAATGAGTCCTATAGTGTAGCCATCTGGTCGCATAAGGCTCATTAAATATGACAGAAGATATTCCTCTGCGTAAACAGTTCGACCCATTTTTTGACACTTTATTCTGCTTGCACGTTTATCAGCCTTTGCAGCAGTTTCTCTTTGCTCCTGATCACACTCTATCTGTTGCTATCTGCATTCAGCGCGCCGGGTCCATGCCTAGGGAATACTGGGGATTTAGTTTTTCCCTATAATTCTCTGTTCTGGAAAGAACTTACAGTGATTGAATGAAGAATTTAAAAAAATTTAATACTTAATTTACAATTTTCTAATGAATTTAGGAGAAATATTACAGCTTGAACGACTTAAAAAATTAATATAGGCCTATCAAAAAAGTTGGTAATAATTAAATATGTACTTTGAATTTGTATGACACATTGAATCATTTTAACTGTTCTTCGAGAAATATCGTGGATCCCATTTAAATAGATACATAACGTGCACGGCATATAATTTATATTTATTTAAAGTCTGGTGTGCATATATTTGGAGACAGATAATGTTTAATTTACGGCTGGTAAGTGCATGCCATTGTATTCGTAATTTTCATGGATGAATGTTAGGTAAACGATTATCCTATACTCAATAGGACAAGTATTATTAACGGTTCCTTTGCCTTCAGGTCAGCTCCAGATTTATCTTCGAAATCATGTAAATGATTGGTTTGTGGTTTTTATTATCTGTACTTATCTGCATCGATATTTTGAGATACGCCTTTTTGTAATCGACTACAAGCGTGCGAGTGTAAACCAGACACTTGACTCGAAATAATTCACAACTCAAGCTTCGTTGTTTTTAATCGCTAAAGTGCAATGAGTATCCTTCGTAGGATATCAGTTATTGCTCTTTGTGTTACGCTTTGCATCTTCCAGCCAGTAGATTCGAGTGAGTAATATTTTTTATTTTTTGTATTGACAGTAGTCTCATTCGGTATTGATTGTTTAAACACCATTATCATTAGTCAGTGAAATTCATTTATCGAGTGCTTCCTATAGTTCTACTCAATTGTTACTTTCTACTACGATATTGAATATTGTTATAAGTAGTAAATAAATATGTAGGCATATCCTCATGCGCGAGGCTCATTTTGGTTAAATATCTGTTAAGTGCGTATCTATGATATCTATAATACGCAATGGGTCATCGTTACCAGTTAAGCTTAAAAATTAACGCTCCAAATAATTTCTTATCAAAATTTAGTATCGATTAGATATCAGGAAAATGTAATTTGTTTAGTATATTTGACACAGTCCAGCACTGTGGAATTTTTTTGCAACTCAACATATAATTGCCAATATGCATTCCAAGAGAAATATCAGCGCTATTGGCGAAAAACGTGTATCGTCGCATTCCGACAAATTTAAACAAATAGAGAATTCAAATTCGCGACCAATGTGTTACGCGTCCGGATAGTGTGCCTTTGATAAATAAAATTCACATCACGAGTTGGAGTCATCAGTGATTCATCGAGGATTTTGAAAATTTCAAAAATGTTGAATGACAGCTGGCAATTGCGCCCTTCAAAAGGAGGATGGAAGTACAGTAAGCACAACCGAATGGAGTTTCGGTATTACTTTGGATAACATATTGGATACCCAAGAGAATGGCACTACGCTTCTTAATTTTACAAGCAGCAATATTGCGAACATCAGTTCGATAGTCCCCGATAGTACAAGTGGCCTGACTTTTATGGACGCTGTCCTTGACAATGGTCAATTGATCATCAGTCTCACGGATAACTTTATTAATTATGAGGAGTATGAGGTATTATACTAGTTCGATAATTCGTCACGGAAGAATCCATATTATCAATAATCTAATGATTTTATATTTCAGACCTCTACAATGATGAAAGTAACAATAGCATTCGTGTGTTCCGTGGATACGAGAAGTATAGTGAGTCCAGCTTGAATGAATACTGCGTTCTCAAAAATTTTCCGTAGATTCTACTGATACTTCGAATTTTGACGTTTCAGGAAATTTATCAACCAGTCATCGACACGAATAATCATTACCCAGAGTTCCAAGATGCTCCCTACAGTTACTTCCTGCCTATGCCTTTTCCTTCAAACTTGCCATTGCATTTATTTAAAATCATCTCTGCCAGGGACATTGATCTTACCAATACAAATATTTCATTCGCCTTAAATAGTTCCGATCCGAATGCCGATGGTTTTACTGCATCGTGGTTATCTCAGGATGACACTGATACAAAACTTCACTATGCCAGTCTGATGACCACGTTACTACTAAATTTGGCCAGTAACGTCACCTTCAGTATTTACGCAACGGTTGGTGGAACTAGAACCTAATCTCTATGCACAAAATATTTTATGACGTTTATTCATGAAAATTAGTTTTCGATATTTCATGCTGCTCAGGATACAGGTACACCGCCTCTCACGTCGGAAACTTCCATAACTATTTTCGTGAATGAGACTAACTCCGTTCCAGTTGCTCCTCAGTTCAGCCTTCCAATTTATATAGCTGACTATTCTCATCTCGCGCTGGAGGAGGTAAACATTTTTCTTTTAATTTGGCGATCGATGCACTTGAACGTCCTGCATATTAAATTTTTCAGGCAGATGGAACTTTGCTAATATTTGATCAAGGAAACATAACGCTCAGTCAAGGTGCAGACAACACAGTGGTTTTCAATTTGACGAGTCACACTGGAGGTGTGTACTTCTTTACTCCTTATACTTAATATGATTCGCGTTTCGATTTACTCCTTTTTCTCTTGCATACAGACTATGCGAGCCACTTTGAATTAACCAGCACTAACGATTATGCAACACTCTATCTCACCCTGAGAAATCCCACCGAGGAACTTCTTCTGGAACCCTTCGTAATTCTCACACTCTTCGTAAGTAATGGCTTGTGCCCGATGTAGTACTATCGATGATAATCACTGTCATTCGCTTCAAATTGCTAGGCTACGAGAACTGGTGCTTCCGGCGCAGGATTAACTATTCTCCACATTTCATTACCCAGCACGCCGTGTTCAAATTCGCCTGCCACCACGGATGCTCCTACGTCGCAGGAATCTACTGAGACGTCAGTTACGTCAGATCAAATAAATACAACGAACACGACCGATACCACTTACTATTCTTCCACTAACGATCCCATTGGTAAAAACTATTTCTTTAATCTTTTTCGGTGCTTTGGCAAAATTGATAACTAACGTATACGTTTAATCAGTGTCTACGACTTGGATTACCGATGATACTTCGAGTAGCGAGAGCAATGTCCCAGATAGTTCGACGGTGTCTACCGTATCTACAGACAGCTCGAGTTGTCCTGCTTGCACCTGCAACACAGAATGTCCAACGACGGTAACCTTCGTTACCGAATCTCCAACCGCATCTTCAACGGATTGCATTTGCGACTACAGCACCATTACGGGCAGTTCTGATTTTACAGATTTTACAGATTCGTCAGATTCTACAGTTCCTACTGTTTCAACAGTAACGACGTTCCCATCTACCGGTAAGGATTCACATGGTTAAAGCGTTTACTCGCGCTACAAGTTTCGTCCTCGTAAATGAATTATTTTAGAGTCGACAGAGACCACGCATTGTCCAGTGATTACTATCACGGAAGAATGTATTTGTGACGATACAAGTACCACGAGTACCACGAGTACCACGAGTACCACGAGTACCACGAGTACCACGAGTAGTACAGACGCAGAATCAGATTCGACTACGCTCTCTGATACTGATCTGGAATCAACATCTACAACTTCATCTACCGAAGAACAAACGGAAGCTAGCACAATAACGACCGTGGCAAGTCCGACGATATCCTTTTCTAAGGGTCTTTATAGATTTGAAGAGTCGGCTACATTCACAGGAACCTTAATGGTCGAAACTGCAACAGTGACAAACGGAGACGGAACTGTAACCTACAGTACAGTTATAAACGACGGTAGGCAGGGTTGATGATAATCGATAAACGTTGCGGTATGTGTCATCGTGAAAGATAATTACCTTTTATTGCGCAGAATACTTGAACGAGAGGATCTTCATTGATTCCAATACAGCCGAATTGCGAGTAACCGCTACCGTAAGTCCAGGGATCTACACGTTTGATATCGTAGCGACTCTCGCGGAATGGAATTTATCTACGAGCTCTACGGTGCTTTTGATAATCAGTTCAGTCACCGAATGCAATGGAGAGGAAGTCTTTGGATATGCACTCCAAGTGATTGAACTTGAGGAGAAATCTCCGCATTCGAATGTCGTGCCACTCGATGACAATGATTGCAACTACACAATATATTCTCAATCACCGGACCAGGGTCTTTTACCTTTTACCTGAATCGACTAAAATCGTTGTTGTGTTTTGGTGTTATTATAATTGTCAAACGTAAATTTTTAGATTGGTTCTACTTGGAATCTGCGACTTTGAATGCTCGCGAGATCGATAGAGAGTCTTCCTACTTTGAGGATATGCATGTCGCTCAAGTTCGCATCGTAATGGACATGACCTGTCCTAATGATTCCTCTGAGGCCACTAACGCAGATTCTGCGAGAAGAAAACGCGACACAGAATATGAAGTTATTACGAGCAGCATTCCATATGTGAGAACAAGAATGGTAGTCATTGCAATTATAACAGATATCAATGACAATGCACCGATTTGGCATCCGAACACTCCCAGCGTCATAGGACATCCTGGCTACAGATTATCTCAGCTCGTCCGCGCGCCGTACGTTTACAAATTTTCCGTGAGTAATAATGACGCTGCCCACGACGAGGATGATGATAGCGATGAGAATGATGAATCTAACAATGCATTGTGGGACAAAGAGCGATCCGGCTGTAAAGATTGCGTGAGAATTCAGTGCTGTTTCTTTTAGGCTACCGATCCTGACCTTGGGGAAAATGCTACTATAACGTACAGTCTCAAAAATGATGCAACGTTTTACATTCATCCGAGCGAAGGTACCATGTACATTCAGCGTTCAGCTTATGTGGAAGACGCAGCGGAAGTTATGCTCTTTGCATCGGATCCTGACCATAGCACTCCTTTTCCAATAACGATCAGATCCCTGGAAAGTTATCACGTCGCAGTCTACTATTTCGAGAATGCTGTTCTCGAGGATTTGAGTGACATTATCGAAGAGATTATTGAGAAGGCCGGATATTGGATTGGTACAATAGACGCGGCCGTGGTATCTGATATGGATGTTACGAATTCGACCATTATCGGACCCAAGATATCTTCGGATAGTAATACTTTGTTACGTGTCCTCGTATACGGACTTCAAAGTGGTGAACCTGTCAGAAGCGCGACACTCGTAGAGTATGGCTTAAATATTTATTGCTATTTTCGTAAAGCAATGACGACGGCTTCAGTAATTCACATGAACTCTTAATTTTAAGATTGGCAGGCGAGCTGTTGCTTTCTTGGAAACTCCTGGAAAAGGACAGCCTGGATAACATACTGCTACAATCTACGTGCGACACAAATAACCAAGACTTCAGCACACTTGGATTCTGGATAACCATAGGCCTTCAATTTCTCCTAATTGCCGTACTCTTTATGATCATTATTTTTTGCTACTCACGACGTAGGTCCAAATCAGCGGTGGCACCACTCGAGTCAGTCATACCTGGCGGGGACGACGAAAGCTACAATGACATCTACAAGTAAGAAAATCGTTCTCGGCCAACGAAGGCCGTTTCGATCGACTTTGGTATCCTTGCATATCGTCACGTTCTATCTGCACACACGATCAGTGTGGATCCCATTATAGCGCTGTGTCACGCAATTATGCACGGGAGCGTCTCAAATTGTGCAATTGAGTACTCACTGATGCACTATTTTATCGGTGATAAGTGTGCTTGCAGGAAACTCTTTCGAGACTCGGCTACCACGAATTACTTTATATATTTTCAGAAAATCTTCAGCTACGCCTGCCAGGAATTCAAAGCAATTGTTAAACGATGCACATAATTTGAAGTAAGTCCAGTCGTAGCAGGCATTGCAGGCTGAAACGCTAGTATATTTTCGTTTTTATTCATTTTACTTGATTTCAGTAACAATTCGAGCTCCACGGAAGGTCGACGGAAGTCGGTGGCTTTTAAAGAAACAGTTGACGAAATTGAAGTGGCGAGACTTTGAATGATTATACTCAATGAGGTAGAAGAATGCCGGCGAAGAGAGCATCGTGGATGCGTGTCAAATGACAGTACCAATAAGACTTTATCATTGTAAGACATATTTCCATACGCATAATTAAACGTATTAACGATAAATTGATAAGGAAGAACGCGAGAGAATTTCTCGCGTAGAAGCGATTGTCGATTGTGCAACGTATCCGTTGCGTCGTAATAAAATCGATCGACTGCGTCTCATTGCTAACGCAATGCGAGCATTGGGTGCGTACTTGGCACCTGGTTGCCCTAACGAGAATTCCAAGTCCTTATCCACCGAGTAGAAAAAAAATAGAATGCACTTGTCCTGCTTGGACTACAAAGAGACCGATGCATGTGTATTATCGGCTGTTTCATATCTATCGATTGCATGTATGATTGATTCGATGCACGTAGTCAGTTCATCGGATGCAAGATAACGCACTTGCAGTAGTCACACTGTATACATCTGATCTATCAGTAAAATAAGAGTCATGGCGATTGATCCAAAAAGAGGATAAGGAAATACATTTGTTACGCCAATTAATTCTTTTAAAAGTGCTGTAAGGCAGCTGCCCTTTATCGCGCAGTCCCGTCCAAATGATTCCTTTCCGACCGGTATTCACTGATCAAAAACATGCCTCCGTAAAAGAGTCATTCATTCGGGGTAACTCATGTGCAGTGTGTATCAGCTTCAGTTGTCATCGTAGTACATGTAGATACATACGAGCTATAAACCACGCCAGCATCTTATGTATGTTGGTATACATTAGTATAAGAGTAAGAAAGACCACAAAACGCCGCAAGAGGCCGCTAGTCTCACGATCGTGATTACCAATGTCGTTCTCCAGTGCAGCCTGTGGAGCGTCGAGTTTGCCAGGCCCCTCCGATACGTTATACAGTATAGCTCTAAAGTGTGCAGTTGGTGTATCCGTGGGAACGTGGCCTTGTGTGGCAGCACTAGCACATGTCCATGAAGAGGCGAGCGGGTTGCCCGTGCGTGCGCATCACCGTCAGGCACACTGCCAAGGCCCGCACACTTTATAAAGAGAACCCACGCAAAAGCCAGCGTCGCATACCTCAGCTGCTTTACGGCGTTTACGACTAACTACAATTATCATTGGTTCGATCACGCGGCCCATATTTCGGTGATTAGACGGGTGATGTGATACTTTAGAGACCTTTAGTAAGATTCCATGAGGTTCGCTGATCATGGAAAGACGGTGAACAATTCGATTTTAGTGAATCATTCGGATGCCAGTTGTTCCTGATTTTTCGCTTCGCAGTGTTTACAGACGCGAACCGTCTGAAATCCATGACAACCGGCGAGGCCACCTTTCCATCTGACAGGTAAGTCGCGATCCATCGATCTCTCGATCGATCGATCGATCGAGGAATGACCAACCCACGAGGATTACACGTAGATTCGATCTGTTTCTCTGATTTTAAGTATAATTGTTTCGTGATTGTTGTCTCCAGTGTTTGCATTCGAATTATATTCAGTGAGTTGTAGAGTGTACCATGAAATTAAAGCTTCGTTTCATTGAGGGCCGGAAGCAAGAGTTATCGTTCAGTGGCAAAGTATACTCAGAGGAAAGTTATCAAATTAAATTTTAATAAAGAGCAATGTCGTGATGGAACTTTGACATATTTTCGTGGCAGACATAATAATTTTATTGAGAAAAACAATGCTTGATATTGGAATTCCAGGGACGGACACGTGCACGCTTCTCATGGCGCATATCGCACGTCGATGATTTTTATCTTATAGGTGCCGGCGTAATCTTCCCCTGACGTATCGACTGATAAAATATCGAATTTACGTCATTAGGAGAAGACCAGTACAAGATAGAAGGAAGCAATATGGCCATCGCGAGGATCAAGAGTTTCATAGACAGCAGTATAAGGACAGTGTCCACTCCGCTTGATCGCACGGCTAATTTGGAGCCGGAAGTCGGCATTAGGATTGTCCATTCACCGACGGAGAAGGCTCTCTACGTGACTGTGATCGGTGCGAGACACTTGCCTCTCAACTTTGGCTTTACCAGAGTCAACAGTTACGTGGTCAAGGTAAGCTGCAGCCTAGGAAGTTCTAGGAGAAGGAGGTGGCCAGGGTAATAATTAAATGTTCATCAGGTAAAACTTCTTCCGGGGAAGGAGAAGTTCGAGACTACGTCGAAGAGTGAGTCTTGGCCTCAGTGGAATGAGGAATTCACATTCGCTCTGCGAAAGGAGACCAAATCGAAATTTGGCAAAACAAAGATTACCGAGGAAGAAATTGGTGGCTCGAAATTGATCGTAGCCACTCTCTATGCTGTTCTCGAGGATAAGCCATTGATAGCTACTGAGAAGAAAGAAGCTGATAAGGACAAAGGAAGTTCATTGGGCAAAGGCGAGACTTCGAAGAAAGATGCAAAGAGGAAGGATGCCGCAAAAGATCAGAGTGCCAGCCAAGATTCTACCATTGGTAAAGGAGGCAAATTGCTCGATCAGTTTTTCGGCAAGGGTTCCGATAAACTCGGTAATCCAAGTGAAAAAAAAGGATCCGCTCGGGATAAGATTTTCGACAAGAGAAGAACCATTGGCGCCGTTACGATTCCTTTGGACTCGAGGAGTTTCGTCAGCAAACCAGTTAAACCAAAACACAGCTCCGACGTGTCCACGGGGGACTTGTGGAGACCAGTCAGGCCCATCGCCAGCGGAATTTCCGGGGCAGAGGATCGAGTAGGTATCAGAGAACATTCTGCAATCCCCTTCCGTCGACTTCGCATCGCCGCCATTCGCCAGAATCTCTAAAGTCGAGAACCAGCGGCTGCCCGAATGCCACTGGTGTTCCTGTTGCTTGCGCCAACTGTTGATATAGCTGGAAGCTACGTCTAGCCGTACGTACGTAAGTATAGGCTTATTGACGCGCTTCGCTGCCACAAGCAATAGGAACACGCGGTCTTCGGGCAGCTGCAGATTCTGGAAAATGACGATACTGGACGTTGACTTTCGGGCAAACGACAGCGACCCAGCGTCGACTTTTCATTACTCAGAATTACATTTTTACTTTGCAGCGTGAAAACAAAAAGGGGCAGGTAGAAATTTCATTGTGCCAAGAAAAGGATGACAAGAAGGATGGTACTGGAAGGTTGGTACTGTCCCTGATACGCCTACGATGTTCTCTGCAGACGATGCACGAGCAGGAGGCCCTGAAGGGCCAGTTGTACATAAAGATGTCTGTTGTCGATGGAGAAAGAGTCACGCACTTTTGGAAAAGCGACAGGTTTTCCCCGTGTGTATCCATGAAATTCTCCCCGGAATCAGCCAGAGTTATAGCTGAGAATCCGTACGAAGGTGCTCTCAAGGATGTCAGCTTTGTCGTAAAGTTCGTGTCGAAAAACAAAATGGGTAAGATTCCGGTCCTTAAGAGAAGAGGAGAATCCGCTCGCCATGTTCTCTCATCCCTTTGGGTTTTCAGGGAAGAAAGTGACAGTTGGTCACTTCGTGATAGGCGCCGATGTCGGTGGAAGTTATGGCGAACAATGGAAACAAGCGCTGGCTAAGCCAGGACAACAAATAGCCAAGTGGCAAGCCTTTGAGTAATTCAATCTAAAGGAGCAAGATGCGATCGCTATGTGTGATCAGGCAGATCAATTATTGTTTTCGATATGCGCCGCTTTACGCTTGCGATTTTTAAATCGCAAAGTATCTCAATCTAACCGTCCTTTATATTATATTCTTAAGCACAGCAGTATAAACTCTATTTTCTGTAAATTTGTAAGAAGATAACTGGATAAACGTTTACGCTTAAAGTTACGTGGTTCTACGCATTTGTCACTTGGTCCCACTGTTGCTCAATGTCGGTTCACTACATGAATACTGAATGATAGCCCCCCACCCCCCGCCCCTATTACTCTGTGTAATTAACGACGACATTCTCTGACGAACCTTAATATGGACACTGTGGCCGTGCCTCGATAAGAAGCAGTAGCAGTGAGAAGTCAACAAGAGATACCGACAAATTTTATTTGCATGTCTTTTTTACTATGGAATGTATATTTTATCATAAAAATGTGTCACTTCTCTAGATTGAATATTACAATAGAAAGTTTATCAAAGGTAGCGTGGACATTATTCTCATGTAACTTAGATACATTAACTTGAGAAGGTATAGCCTAATGTAATGTATTTCGTGGAAGGCACGAATGGCGAATGGTATTACACTTTCTTTATGGTACACTTTGCCCCTTCTGCGCTCTCATAAGTAAACTCGTATAAAAATATAAAAACGATTGCTTGGAGCAGTCGCACGAGTTATCAGCAACACTCGTGTTAGTCTGGACGGTATTACTAGTTCTCCATGGACGGATTAACTCATTTGGTATACTGAATTATCAGTTGACCTGACACCCGCGAAATAAGTGTCTCCTAGTTTGGAGAAACGCAAATGAACCTAAATGATCGCCAATGATCCAAGCGATCCACAGACTGCGAGGATTGAAGAAAGAGTCCACGCGATCCAACTCTGACCTAGGTGCGATGCGCTGTTGCAGCCATCCTTGCTGTTGCAGGTGCAGTATTCGATGAAGATGTTATAAGTACCGGTTCTCATGAGGCAGAAGCGCTCGTCTCCAGCAATTCCAGGTTCACCCACGTAGGCACAGTCGCGGAAGTACCGCCACTCACCGTTCACTATGAAAAGTCAATGTGTGATCGTTCGTAAACATTTGCATGACGGATGGCGTTTCTCTAATTTGCAATGGAGAACTTACCTTTTTGACGAATTTTGCGGCATATGGTCGACTTCACTCCTGGCATGTGACTGAGCTCTTTCTTTTCCTTGCAGTCGGCGAGCGACACAGTGGAATTGTCAAAGGGATCCGCGCATTTTGGATCCAGGTCGGACCTACATTCCCAGCACTTAATGCAAAGGCCTGCATCAATGGTAGACGCGTTAATTCGTAGAAAATCAATCACAACGGATTGCTTTTGGGGTTAGCCTTTATTTAACGATGGAATCGGTATTTGCTACCCTGGCAATTTGGTTATTGTATTACAAGCGGTTCCGTTATGTTACGTTTATGGCAGCCAATATGAAATATTGAATTGCATGGTATAGTCAAGTCCAGGAGTTTCATGTGCTTTTTTGACAGATGGAAAATGAATTTACTAGAATCACACTTGTTTCTGTAGACAAACTTTCTTATTGAGTATGCATGTTTGTGCACTAAAATTTAATCGTCTATTTCAGAAAAAATATCGAGGATTTTATGGAAAGTCGTATGCGACTTGTTAAGGATTGTATTGTTTGAAGGATTGTATTATTTACGAACTGTCAAAATGGATTAGTTTTTAAGTGCAGCTGCACCCCCAAACATAAAGAATTAACTGTACTAACTACGTCGAGATATTCCGTTCCATGGAAAAACATGAGTATGTCAGTAAGGTGAAATCGCTATGGTACTTAGAACAATGAAAAGTGTAAAAGAATCACGATGATGTTTCACGAGCCGAACGTAGCTTCGAGACATTTCGGAAAGTATTCATTGAATAGTACAAGATATATGACTAAAGGGCAATAAGAGTCGTGCAGTGAACTATGTCATGTTAGCAGGCGCGTTTCGACAATCAAACGATGTGCTGATGTGAATGGAAAAAATGCGCACTGGATTACCTTGCTCGACGCAGATCAATAGAGCGAACACAGCCAGTAAATTTATCCTGAATGTTCGAAACTCCATTTTCGTAGAAGTCACATAAACGTAGAATCGAAAAAAGGAATTCACAACCGACAGACGACGCTGAAGGTACGGTACCCACGCCTACTATCCGCGTCACGTTAGCATACAACCACCGCAGAGCGCATTCGGCTAAGATCGGGTGGGATCGTGTCACGTGACCACTCCCGCCAGGTTCAACTGTACTGTTGGAAGAGCCGCGCCCGTTCTTCCACTCTGACTGACTCTGACTTCTACCTCCGCCATTGGGACTTTTCTTCTTTACCATCTTCTTTATCTGCTTATATGTCTTATTTACTGGCACGCATACGAGCTCATTCGTCCCGTGACTTTCTCGACTGCCGCTCATGCTGCGCCGAGTCAACTTCAAGAGGCCAAAAGGCACGGAGCCACTTGACTCATATGGTTGCACGTCTGAAAATGTAAGCGCACAATGGAATTCGTTGTTTCTTCTAACGTGTCAGTAGCTTCCTGTCACAAATTGGATAAGATGTTTTACTAAGGCACAAAGACCCTATTAGAAAAATTGTGACAACGTTACAGTTTTAAAATTTCCATAGGAGTGTCTGTGCCTTTGATAGACTGCATGTCCAGCTGCGCCCTCAGATCCCGAGGCATGCTGACGAATACGTAGGGATATGTCTTCAAAGTGGAAGTCCTGTCGACCTGAGGGGATATCACGGGTGGTCCCGCCGCAATGAAACGAATTCGCTGGTACACAGGAGCATTTGAATACTATAAATAAATTGATTTGCAGACATTAGCATGAGCAGTAACCGTAGGAGTGAGTAGTGGTTCTCATTGACGTCGTCTTAGACGATCTGGACGTTAATTTACGAGCAAAGCTTCTTGGCCTTTCGCGAATTCAGCGAAAAGACGTTTTACCGCGTTGGCTGAACCTCAGTGCCCCGGGGTACGTGGGAATGTAGCCAAGCGTAGTCCCACGTGAATTCAGAATGAGCAGTCCCCGCTTCTTCGCACGGGGAGCGACTGTTCGCGACGCAGAATATCGTAAAGTCGCGCGCACGCAGAGCAAATTCAGTATAGCTACACGTAATCATTACCACAAAGTCACTGTCAGTGTCAGTGGGATCGGAAACCGACAACCGACAACCGGCAACCGGCAACCGGCGACCGGCGACCGACAATCGGCAATCCACATCTAGACATCTTGACTCCGCCTTGTCTCGTTGCGGCAGTGGCAGTGGCACACAGAGTCGACGTCGGCGCGTCCCCCGCGATTCGCTCTCAGTCGCACCAGGACCACGTGCGTGCGTGCGTGCCTGCGTGTGTGACTGCGTGCGTGCGTGCGCAAGTGTCGTCCGCCTCTGCTCGTCCCTCAAAGCGCGCAAGGAAGTGGCGCACGTGCGATCTTAAAGTCAAACGGCTTCCGGAGTACTGGAACTCTCGAGCGCCAAACTCTTGGACTCTTGGTGAAATTCAGTCTAGGGAAGTGAAAAGTGACTGGGAAGTGTCAGCAGGGGCTGACGAGCCGCGGACGGAGACTAATCCTAGAGAGGGTGGACGCGCGGCGACCTCCGGGTACGAGGAGGAACGTGCAGTTTCCTATGTCAGTCCCTACAGTCCCGGCATTCCGCGTGCGAACGTTCTCGCGATACTTGCATTAGTCGCCAGCGGGGAAAGGAACTTCCTCTGGTGGCTGGGACTGTGTTTGCGGGACGTCGGAGAAGGACTTCGCTGCTCTTCTGGGTCCAGCAGGCATCTTTGGGATCGCGAGAGGACACGCGCGGATGGACCGCGAGTGTTGCGACGAGGGAAGAAACGACTTAGGTTGCATTCCGCTCTTAAATTCTCGAGGGAGTCGGACCCGTTGAGCGCGGTGATTGTATTTATAGACTATACAGTACGCGAGGAGACGAGTGCGTCAGCCGTCAGCGGGCGGAGGACAACTCGACATCACGCTGCTCGCTGCTCTGCACTTTCAAGAAAGATACGAGACCCGCGATATCTTGACTGATCATGAGGCGATGCAGCTGCCATAGGGATCTGCACGTTCCGCTGCAAGGACTGTGATTCCTGCTTCTCACGTATCTCGAAATCTCGAAGAATTTGCCAAACAGATCGACTCAATATGAGCGACCGACTCGTACGCATCCAGACTCTTGTCCTGGTTTTCGCCTTTTCCGTGAATCTGGTGTCCACGAGAAACTCAACGGTAAGTCGACTGCGAAGAACGATAAAACTGTTTTTTAAGAAAGTTCGCGACTCCGAGCTTCCAGTGCGTTACGCCTTATCTCGGACTCTGGCTGTTATCGCGGAATCGTAAAGAGCGAGGGAGAGTGATCCCAGTGAGCCCATTAGCGGCAACTACCAGTTTCCTGGTAATCCTTGTCATTTTCCTTTTGCCACTTTTCTCCAAGGCCAATACTTTAATTGGAGATTCCTCAAGATCCTCTCTCTCCTTCTTCGTCACTGATAAGAAGCGACGCTCCGTGTCAATCGATAGTTCATTTTTGGTCTGTCGCCACGCGCTCCACTGTGAGCGATAAGTTCGAAGATTCGCGAAAGCGTCTGGTGACGTCGCGGCGCTTCTCGTGAAACTCGGCCGGGCTGTCGGGCACGGGCAGGAAGTATGTGGCGCGTCGGATAAAAAGTTGCCCTAAGGAATGTCGCGTACTGTTCTGCGAGTATTCCCAGACATCCGCTGCTCTTTCTCCGGGCAGCTTTTTCCCTTCTAGTTGACTCGACTCCGCCTAATCCACTGTTCTCCGGTTGGCTCGGTTCGAATTTGGCGCGCCCATCAAAATCCCCACGAATTTATTTGGGCGCATCTTCCATTAGCGCTTGATCGAATTCCAGTACCAGTTCGAGGAAGCTGCAAGAAGTGTTCTGGCCATTTTGGGCCGGTCCGTTTTCGGATGGCCAGAGAGAGCCATCTACGGGAGAGACAATGTGCCGGAGCGTCGGGACGCCTGGCATCCCTCTTCTACGCGGAACCGCATTCGCATACCTACTCGACGTAGGCGAACGTAGGAAACCTGTTCTGGATGTTCCTGCGATTCCGCGACTTCGATCGGAGTCTCGCGAAAGTTGCGGGATACCTGAAAGCAACCTGAAAGCACGGGGCATCCCAGGGAGCATTCCGAGGATTCACTCCCGTCGCCGAGCCTCTCGCACCCCCGCACCTCCTCCTCGCCCTTCTTCGCGGCGCATTTCAACCCTCGACGCTTTTTGCATCGCTCTCATGCGAAGGATGCAAGGCACCGCGACGCACCGCGACGCACCGCGGCTTTTGCCTAGTTTGGACATGCTCACCTCGCTGAATACTAATATATATTCCTCGACTTCTCATCCTCATTCTTCACCGCCTTCTTTTTCCTGCTCGTCCTACGAGTTCGAGAGTTCGCCCCCCCCCCCCCCCC